CATGGTCCCGGGTTGGAAGAGTTAATATTGCCCACCTTACCAAAAAAAGTAATCTACAGATTCAATGTAATCCTAATCAAAATCCTCTTGGCACTCAGCATATAAATAAAAGTAAGTAAATAGAAAATATCGGCACAAAAGACCCTGGATAGTAAAATATTCAGTAAAAAGAATATTGTGGAGGTAACACAATACCCAATTTCAAGTTATACTGTAATATCATAGCAATAGACACAGCGTGGTTCTGCCACAAAAGAGATGTCAGTCAATGGAACAGAATAGAAGACCCAGATATAACTTCACATAACTGTAGCTACTTGATTTTTTTTCAAAGATGCCAACAATACACAATGGAGAAAACACAGCCAATGGTGTTGGGAAAACTGCATGGGTACATGTCAAAGGCACTAGGTCCTTCTCTCTCATGCTACACAAAACCCAACTCCAAATGGATCAAGGGAACTCTGAAACTGCTAACAGAAAAGTCAGGGCATGTGGGACCGGATGTAGGCATAGGAAAAGACTTACGGCAAACGACTCCGAACACGGGGAAATAAGACGACTATTGACAAACGGGACCTCATGATATTAAGGCATGGTCTCCCTTGTTCTGTACAACAAGGAGATGGAAATCGCATCTATAGAATACGTTTTTCGGTCTTTCCCAAGGGTTCCTTGTGTGTCAAAGCCCATCTTTCACACACTCAAAATGATGTGTGATTTTGATGACTCCGCCTTAGCCTTCACGTGCTGTATTTTAGCAAATCTGCTCCAGTGGCCACTGAGGGAAGGGAGCACAGGGGATAATGAAGTGCTACTGTGAACAGTCACTAGAGGGCAGCACTTTATCCCAGTCCACTGGAAACAGGAGGGCTTTCCTGCAGGTGTCTCCTTCAGGACCCTTTCATAGAAGCCTCGGGGAGTAAGAGCTGGAATGTTCTTTCTCTACAAGTTTAGGCTACACATGTCTAAGCCAAGCGTAACAGCTCAAGGCAACGGGATTCCTCTTGGGGAAATCACTCTACTTCTTTCCAATTACAGAGGGGGAAATGCAGTCTCAGACGGGAGCAGGTGCGTGTTGATAAACGCGTGGCAATGGTGCTTTTGTGGAGGACAGAGGGAAACATCCAGTGCCGACTCTCACCTTCCACCTTGTTTGAGTCCACCTCGTTTGAGGTAGAGTCTCTCTTTTTTTCTGATGCAAACACCAGGCTAGCTAGACAGCAAACTTCTGGGGGAGTCTCCGACTCCATCTCATGTCCGCTCCCCTAGGAGTCCCCAACACCAAGATTACAGGTGTATACGGTACAGATACGGCTCTGGAGATTTGAACTCAGCTCCTCACATTACTGTGGCAAGCATTTAACTCACTGAGACATCTCCCAGCGCCTGGGTGGCAGAGTGAAGTCTTTGGGACGTGATTAGGTGATGAGGGGTGGAACCCTCATGAATGGTATTCGTGTCCTTATAAAAGCAGTTCCAGGGACCGGAGCTCTGGCTCAGTGGTTAAGAGTGCTTGCTACTGTTCCAGAGGACCGAAGTTCAGTTCCTAGCATCCACCTAGGTTTGCTTATGAACACCTCTAATTCCAGCTCCAGGCAATCTGATGCCCTTTTCTGCTTTCCCAGGCCCATACCTGCACATGTGTGCTCAGACACACACACAGATGACACCTGAGTAAAAATGAATGCTTGTAAAGTAGTTCCAGAGTCTCCTGTATCTGCATTCTGCACTGTGGAAGTTCTCGCCAGAACCTGGCTGCGCTATATTGACCTCATACTCCAGCTCCAGAGCTGTGAGCAAGAAATGTTTATGTGCTGCCGAAGCTACGCCCTTCACTTCAGCATCCCACAGCGACAAAACCTCCTCGAGATGGTCCATCCAAACCCACGCCCTTCACTACAGCATCCCACAGCGACAAAAACTCCTCGAGATGGTCCATCCAAACCCACGCCCTTCACTTCAGCATCCCACAGCGACAAAGCCTCCTCGAGATGGTCCATCCAAACATATGCACTATTGTTTTAAATGTTTTTGCTCTTTTTATCCTTTTGCCTTTTTGAGGGGCCCACCACCAAGCTCCCAAATAAAATCACACAGGGAGGCCTATTCTTACTAATGAATGCTCAACCGTATCTTGGCTTGCTTCTAGCCAGCTTTTCTTATCTTAAACTATCCCATCTATCTTTTGCCTCTGGGATTTTCCTGTTCTCTTCTTTAGATTTTACTCTCACTCCGTGGATGGCTGTGTGGCTGGCCCCTGATTTCCTCCTCTCCTTGTTCTCCTGTTGCTCTCTTCCTTGGGTTCGCCTTCTATTTATATTTTGCCTGCTGGCCCCGCCTATCCTTGCTCCTGCCTCACTATTGGCCGTTCAGCTCTTTATAAGGACCACCAGGTGTTTTAGACAGGAACAGTAACATAGCTTCACAGAGTTAAACAAATGCAGTATAAAACAGAAGTCACACACCTTAAAATAATATTCCCCAACAATGCACTTCACTACAGCAGCCCACAGCGACAAAGCCTCTTCTAGAGGGTCCCTTTTTGGGTCACTTCTGATCTGTGCTCTCCGGCATCTGTACACTCCAGTCAATATTCTGACATGTGTGGGTGAAGTAGAATGCCCCAGCCCCTCCACTGGGCTTCTAGCCCTATCTGCCCCTTCAGGGAATCTGGGCTTCTCTCCAGGGCAGCTCAGCCTAGGAGAAAGAGGAGAGGAAAGACATTTGCCTCCTCACAATACAAAATTAAGGTGAGGGGATTTTTCTACAGCTGTTATTTCCAATATTTACTTATTTATTGTTTAATTTTGTGTGTACATGTGTATGTTATTTATTTATATTTATGTGTGTTTCTGTACATGTGTATACATATGCATGCCTGTGAAGGCCAGAGGACAACTTTCTTGACTTAGTTCTATCCTTCTGCCATGTGTATTTCAGGGTTTGACCTCAGGTTGTCATGTTTGGCTGAAAGCCCCTTAACCTGCTCAGCCATCTTACCAGCCCTGAGGTTCTTATAAAGACACTGATATCATTCCTGATGGCTCCACCCCCATGACCTGATCACATCTCAAAATTTCCACCTCTTGATACCATTGTATTGGGAGTAGGTTTCAACACAGGAAATTGGGGAGGGCAGTCCATTTCAAGAGCACTGGGGTAATGGGGTCTGCAAGGCAGTCACAAGTGTGTGCTTAACAATGGCCTTATCTCTGAAGATACCTGAATGATGGATAGTTTTAACTGTTAACTTAGCATCCACCTAGAATCACACCTGAAGAGTCTCAGGGTCTGGAGAGCTGGCTCAGAAGTTAAGAGTACTTGCTGCTCTTGTAGAGAGTCTAGGTTCAGTTCCCAGTAATCATATGGTGACTCACAACCATCTGTAACCCCAGTCCCAGGGGATCCAGCGCCCTCTTTTGACCTCTGCAGGTACTACACACATGGTGCACATACATAAATGCAGGCAAAACACTTATACATATAAAATAATCTTTACAGTCTCAGTGAGGGATTATCTAGACTAGGTTGGCCTGTGGGCATGTATGTGGGAGATTGTCTTATGTTAATTGAAGTGAGAAGACATGCCCACTGCGGGTGGCACTATTCCCTATGCAGGATTAAGGCTGTGATATGACTGACTCCTGCCACAGTGGCTTCCCTTCTATGATGGACTGTAAGCTGGAACTATGAGATGAGCCAAAACCTTTCTCCTCTGAGCTGCTTTTGTCAAGGTGTTTTATCACAGCAAGTGGAAATGACAGTAGGACAACCTGCCTGCAGCTTGTTTTGAGGCTGGCTCCTGGCATCTCTTTGCGTGTCCTCTTCTTTTGCCAAGTTCCCATTGTATTCTAGATCTTGGAGACAGGTCCCAAAGATGAAGAGCTCTGATGGAAACCTCTTACATTGCTTCAAAGACTCCCCACTCCAAGTGAAGACTTCACAGATATTAATTTGGGGAACTGTTGGGAGTGTCCTATGGATGGACTGGTTTCCACACAGATAGTCCACACCAAGGCTGTTGATTAGACTTTACTGGCCCACCCAGGATTTTCTATGGGTTTGTCCCCACACCATCACTATATTATCCACCTGTCTGAGACCTCTTGGCTCTAGATAGAATCTGGGCCCAGGAGCTCACAGGAAGGTGAACCAGGCCACAGACAGCTTAGTACCCCTAAAACTTCATGGATCATCTGCTGCTGGAACGAGGAGCCTGATCTATAGCCTGGATGACATCAGTGACAGGACTTGTCCCATGGAGTCCAGTCCATTCTTCATATCCCCTATCAAATATCTCATAAGAGCTGGGCCTGGTGGTACAGATGTGTAATCCCAGTTATTTGTGAGGCTTGAGGCAGGAGGATGACACATTTATGACAAGACTGAACAACTCAGTGAGACTGTCTCAAAAAATTAAAGAGAGGAATGGGGGTATAGTTCAGTGGTAGAGCACCTGCCTAGAATCCCTCAGTGAGGGGCTGGGATGTGGCTCAGTGGTAGAGCTCCTGCCTAGCATGCAGGAGATCCTAGGTTCAAAGTTTTACACACACACACACACACACACACACACACACACACACACACTTTAAGAAAAAAAGGACTGTCAGGTGTGACATCATTTTACGAGGCCATCTGTGAATTTGTCATGGTGTTGCACACCTGCTATCTCAACACTCATGAGACTGAGGCAGGAGGACTGAGTGTTCCAGGCCAACCTGGGGTACATCACAAGGTCCTGTCTCAAAATCCCAAAACCCAAGAGAGCATCTAACTCAGCACCCTCTTCCTAGGTCCTGGGAAAAGCCGAGCCTCCCACTGTGGGGAAGGGAGGGCTAATCACCAGCTGCAGTGGCCAGCGATAGCAGAATCAAAGGCCAAATGCACAGGTGGGCCTGGTAACATCATTGTTTGGTGCTGGGGGAATGTCTAAAGCTAGGAGAAACTGGTTGGCCAGGAGCTGGGGGCTGGTCTCAAAAGGAAAGAGCACTACTAGCTTGAAGAAATAACTTTTATTTTTAAGTGGTGCTGCAGATGGGTCTGGTGAGGTCCACATCTGTCCCTGCTAGGATACTGGTGTTCACCCCCAGCCCCTTCAGCAGCTCAAGGGCCTCAGAGGGGGACAAGAAGTGGGTCTTGGGAGCAGGAGCCCCTAATCCTGTGCCTGGTAGGCCCTCATGAGGCCGCAGGTCCTCGGCCCCAGCTTCTGGACCACACAGCAGCCACCTCATGAGCCAGGAGGACAGCGGGGGCCAGCAAACGGGTTGTCTTCCCTCCACAGGCCTCTGTCTCCTTCAGTTTGGATCTCTGATGAAGAGTGACAAGTTTAGCTTCGTGGCGCTGTCAAGGGATGGGGGGAGTTCCCCAGCTAGGGCCCCTATGCTGTGGCCATGCCTAGGGAGGCACTAAAGTCCGCGAGAGTGGAGATTAACTGTCCTCATTGCATAGCGGGTCTCCTGGGAGGTCAAAGGATGCCGTTGGGCATCCAGTACTAGACCACGCCTATAGAACTAGCTTCCTTTCTACCACCCACCCAATTCTCTGATCCTTGTCATTATTCTGTCTCTGTATCGGTCTCTGCTTATGCCTGCCTCGATCCCTTTCCACAGGTCCCCACATTCCTCTCTTCCCACACCCACTAACCCACTACAGGCCGGTGAAAACCTTCGAGTACGCTTGGAAAGCTTTCCTGGAGGTCGGCAGCCGGGTGAGGGGCGCCATGGGCAGCAGGAAGCAGCAGAAACAGCAACACCAGGGATGGCCACATGACGCAGGGACAGGGCGCTGCGAAGGGATGCGGGGCTATCAATCAGAGGCCCTCCCTCCCTGCCCAGCCGTCCTCCATTCCCTCCCTTTTCTGCACGTCAAGTCCACCCATCTCTGGTCCTGGAAGGCCCGCCTTCTCACTTCCGAGGCGCCCTGTGTCAGCCCTCAGCCTGGTCAACGGTCTCCAACTCTCCAAGAACTGTCAGGTGCAGACAGTTGTGGCCCAGAGTGGCTCTGGAACTACTGGTCTTCGCGAGCCAGTTCACAAGTCCTGACCACACCCCTCATCCGGAGCCACGCCCCTTAAGCCTGAACTGAGCCGCCCACTCTGACCACACCCTTCAGCCCATGCCAGGCACACCCACTCAGAACTGCTCCCTTATACAATGGCCATGCCCTTAAGACTTGGCCACACCCTCCTGCTGAGAAATACATCTTGGCAGGGCTGCTGAGCTTTTTGCTGAGCGCTGTCCTGGATATGGACTTGACTTTGCTCATTGGTCCTTTGCAGACCAGGCCCCACCAGCACCATTGCCAGAACTCTAGTGGCCCATGGTCCCTTGTTCCTTTCCATTCTCTGTCCTTTTTGCATATACGGAGTCTATTCTTTCTTCCTTCTATCTTCTGTGTGTTCATGAAGTGGCCAGAGGACGAATTCAATATCATTCTTTATTACACTCTACCCATTCCTCTGGAGTTCATGCTTTTCAGCTGAACTGGCAGCCAGCAAGCCCCGGTCATCCTCCTGTCTCCACCCAGTTCAATGTTGGGATCACAGACAGCTGTGGGCCCACACTGGTTGTGTGAGAACCTTTTAAATGCATTTTAACGGGGTGTGGGCAATGGGTCATGGGCATGAGTATGAAGGTCAGAAGACAGCTTGGGGAGGGGGAGATGGTTCTCTCCTTCTACCATGTGAGGAGTCCCAGGGATTGAGTTCAGGTTGTTAGGTTGGGCAACTGGAGCCTTTACTGGCTGAACCATCTTGCAGACCTCCTTGGCATTTCTTAAATATGAGTCTTCATCAAATCAAGTACATTTTATATTTACCCCAAAGGAATATAAATCTTAAAATTTAGCAATATGAAGTTTTCAAAGTTTGTAAACATGAAAAGTGATTCACACACACAAACACATGTGCCATATATACACAAAATAAATGTAATAATAAATATGAGCTGGTGTGGTGGCTCACACTTTTAATCCCAGAATTTGGGAAACAGAGACAGGAGGATCTCTCTGAGTTTGAGGTCAGCCTGGTCTTCATAGTTGGTTCCAGGACAGCCAGGGCTACAGTAAGACCCTGTCACACACACACACACAAAAAGTACTAACTACATTTGTATCTGTAAAAATGTGGGGTGAAGAAAGATGTACTGGCTTTTTGATATTTTAAAATATTTTACATAGTGGTAAGCTTCAATGGCATGTTGCAAGAAATCATAGTAGATGCCGCCAAAGCTAAAGTGACCATGAAGAAGGAGCCCTGCACAGAGTTATAAAAACTAGACACTGATTACGGTGCATTGCCAGATGTCATAAAAGTAGGGTGAAGGCATGCTAACAAGTGCTAGCCAGTTGTGAATTTAAAATTCTCTATCAAAGGGTCACATACAGGCACAGAAACACACAGGGAAGAACACACCGGGGTATTTAGCACCAGATTTAAAAACAGGCAATGGCAGGAACCTGGCATGTAGCCTCTGCAAGCCTCAGCTAAACCTAAATGGTGTGCTGATTGACCACACGGATGTTTTGCCTGTGTTTATCCTTCACATAGAATCATACCGTGTGCCTACCTGTGTCCGGGGGTCTTTACTCAGTTATGTGACCCCTCAGACTTCCACCTCATCCCCTCCCACTGTCCAACCGGATTCCACAGTGGAAACACACCCCTTTTACTACATATGTGAGCCTTGAGAGTAATGGCATTTTTTTTTAAGTTTCACATTATATGTATCTCTAGTGCATTAGTGTGTGGCTCTGTGTATGTTGTGTTTGTGTGTGTGTGTGTGTCGCATTTCTGCCTGGTTTGAGTAAAAAGGTATACATGTGCTAAAAGTGTCAGTTTTGCAAAGCGTGTTATCAATTGCTCACTAATGCACAAGCTCCTGTCACAGGGCTGGAGGGATGGCTAGGTAATTGGTAACATTTGGAAAGGAATGGAGTTTGGATTAGCACTCATGTGTGGAGTGGAGCTTCACAACTGTCCATAATGTCAGTTCCAGGGGATTCAATACCCTTTTCTGACCTACAAAGGTACCTGCATACATGTGGTGTGCGCGCGAGCATACACACACACACACACACACACACATCTTTTTAAAATGTTCCTGTTGGGTACATTCTTGCAAATACCTGTTTTTTTTTGTGCTTCTCATTTTAACGATTTCAGTGAACAAGCTTTAAAAGTTACCATGTATGATGTGTGAGTGTGGGCATGCATGTGCCATACAGTGTATGTGGGTCAGAGGGATCTATCAGGAGTTGATCTTCTTCCTTCCACCATAGGTTCGGGTCATAGGACTTATGTAGCCATCTCACAGCCCTCAGTGGTTGGACTTTTAACCCATATTCTCTCGATTATTAATAAGCTAAAATAGCTTTTTACATATATACCGTTACATAGGCATTTTTCCCCTGTGGATGGCCATGTATTTTTTGCTCATGTTCTCTGCTTACTGATTAGGAGGTATTCTTTATATATTCCAGATAAAGGACCAGAAAAACAGGAGCTCCAAAGCCAGATCTTGATTGCCGTAATGCTTGTAAATGAAGGTTCAATGGGAAATAGCCATACATAGTTGCCTGGGTACTATATGAGGTTGCCAGTCTATTACAAGAGGAAAGCTAGGCAGCTGTTAAGGGACTAAAGCTACAGGGCTTACTCACTGGCTTTTTACTGAATAAGCTTTCCAATACTTCTTCCTTACTGTATGAACTGCAAGAACAGTCAACCTGTTTTCCTAATCACTTAAAGAAAGGTTGACTCTTAATTAACTTTGTGTGTGTTCTGCACATACAAGTACACATGCCCACGGGGGCCAGAAGAGGGCATGAGAGCCCTAGGAGATAAGTTAAAAGATAGTTGTGAGTCACCCATTATGGGTACTGAGAACTTAACTCCGGTCCTCTGCAAGAGAAGCAAGTGATCTTAACTGCTGAGCCACCCAGCTCTTCCTACCCACTTTAAACACATTTAAAATTCTTTCTGTGTGTACGTGCAAGTGAATGCAGAGACCAGAGCTCTGTGTTGGGTCTGGAACTGGAGCTACAGGTAATTGTGGATGCCCAAATCAGCTCCCTTCAAGAGAATCAAGTACTCTTCAGGAATGAGCAATCTCTCCAGTCCCCGTCCCCACCCCACTTTCTTAATAGCTAAACACAAATTCAACTTTAGTATAACCCAAATTAATCTTTTATGCTTTAATGCCTTTTCGATCTTGCTTGGAACATTGCCTATACCAAAGGTACAAAATCTAATTGTTTTGAGACAAGGTCTTATCATGTAGTTCTGGCTGGTCTGGGACTTGCTATGTGGATCAAGCTGACCTCCATTGCCTTTGCCCTCAAGTGCTGGGATCAATAGAAATGGTCACTACACATGCTCCTTCTGTTTTTTGTAAAATATTATTTTATATTTCATAAACAAACCATCTTAATTTGGTTTCCCTGCTTTTTTTCTGAATGGTGCTTGTTGTAGCTGAAGTCATCCTTTTGTCTAACTAAGGAGATTCTTCTCCAGTTTGCCAAGATGACATTTTTTTTCTCACAGAGTTTCTCTGTGTAGCTTTGGAGCCTGTCCTGGAACTCTCATTTTTTCACTTGAGTTTTCTTCATGTGACTGTTAACTTTAGGAATACTCAGCCATCTCTATTCTTGGAGCAGAACGGGTCTGATCACTATTAACAGAACAACTATCTCCACGTGGTTTGTCTGGGTTCAGATCATATAATCACGCTATGGTGACATCTCTTTACTGCCAAGTCTGACTTCCTGTAGTCTTAGGTATCTGTGGGGTGGGCTGTCAATTGCAGTCCAAATACACTAAGTAGAAGCAAATTACAGTGTTTGGGGGTGGGCAGTATTGGGAATCAAACACACGGCCTTATGCATGCCTGGCAAGTGCCTTTCTATCCAACTGTATCTTCAGCCCTCAATCCCTAAGGTTTAAACTGCCATCCTTTTATGAAGTGTTGAAGAGCTCTCACTGGGTGTCAACCCTCCTCTTGTGCCGTGATTCCACATTGTACTCACTACCTGCCATAACTAAGCAGATAGCACAGAACCGCAGCACTCACAGTTTCGCCTACCTGCTTCAGAACTGACTAGAGGTTTTGGTGCAGACCTACTGTGGGCAATGAGAGGCTGTACTGGTAATCAGAAGAGTATCATGATGATTGATTTAAACCGCTTGCTCTCGATTGTTACATGGAGAAATGATAGGCAAGGAATAATGCCAAAAAGTATCAACCAGAAAATGTCTGCTAAAGTATAAAGTATAGGGACTAGGGGACAATAAACAGAAATGATACCACATTTATACCACACAACAGTCTTTTAGTGAAATGGGCATTAGCAACCCCAAACTATGTTTGCATATGTGGTGGTTTGAATAGGAATGGCTCCCATAGGTTCATTTATTTGAATCTTGGTCATTAGGGAGTAGCACTAGGTGTGGCCTTGTAGAGGTAGGTGTGGCCTTCCTTGGTGGAGGAAGTGTATCACTGGGGGGTAGGGGGTGGGCTTTGGGGTTTCAAATGCTCGAGCCAGGCCCAATGTCTCTCTCTCTCTCTCTCTCTGCTGCCTGCAGATACAGATGTAGAACTCTCAGCTACTTCTCCAGCACCATGTCTGTCTGTGTGCCACCGTGCTTCCCGCCATGACAATAATGGACTAAACCTTGAACTGTAAGCAGCTCCAATTAAATGTTTTCCTTTATAAGAACTGCCATGGTCCTGGACTGGGGAGAGGTGAAGATAAAGTGGGGGAGGGGGAGGAAGGAGAGGAGGGAGGGTAAAGTGTGGTTGGGATGTAAAACAAATGAATAAATTTAATTAATAAAAAATTAAAAGATTTGCCTGGCCATTGTGTCTCTTCACAGAAATATAACACTAAGACAGCAAAGTTTATCAAAATAGTATTTAAAAAAATTATGCCCAATTCCAGTTGAAAAATTTTTACAAAACCACCCTACTGGTAAGCATTCACAAAAAAATTATACACTTTCCTATTATAGAACATATTTCATCAATATATCCCATTGTAACACTTTGTCATTCTAATACTCAGTATCATGCTTTCACAAATTATTCAAAGCCATGGTTGCCAAAAATTGCATAGAACTGCTATTAATTACATTTCTAAAACATCAGAAATGTCACATATTTATTCACCCTTATGACCAACTCCCAACTTTATAACTTCCTTTCATAAGTTTATTCAGAACAGATAACTTCTTGCATATTTTCTATAAACACCTGTTTTTACATCAGGAATATGGCTTTTAGCATAAGTTTCCAAAGTGTTACATAGTCACCTTATTGACATTTCTTAGCAAGACTCCCTGATAGGTAAATACAATTTAAATAAAAAATAAATATTAAATACTTTGAAAAATTATCTAGTGTCCCATGAGTTACATGGCCATAGTTTCTTCTTGCTGGATTTTTACAGATTCCTCTCTGGAAATTCAGTTTAAAATGGATTCTAGGACTTCTCAGAGCATGGACGCTCTACTTGTGAATCACTGGGGTGGTGCTCCGTGTAGAGCTTCTATTGCATGCAAAAGGCCTTGTATTCAATTCCCAACACCGCAAATATAGAAAGTAGGGGGAAGTCCACCCCTGACTCCCTAACAGGCTTCCAATGTTCATTATTACCAAATATTTAATTGAGATGTCAGAGACTTTCCACATTGAGTGCATTTATAGTCTCTCTTTTATGAATTCTCTGGTGGCTATTGAAGGCTGATCTGTGATGGAACTTTTTCCCACACTCATTACATTCATAGGGTTTTTCTCCTGAATGAGTCCGGTAATGCACAGTGAGGTATGACTTCTGAGAAAAGACTTTCCCACATTCATTACATTCATAGGGTTTCTCTCCTGAATGGCTTCTATAGTGTACAGTGAGGTTTGACATCCGAGAGAAGACTTTCCCACACTTGCTACATTCATAGGGCTTCTCTCCTGAATGAATCCGGTGATGAATAGTGAGATACGACTTCTGAGAGAAAAATTTTCCACATTCGTAACATTCGTACGGCTTTTCACCTGTGTGTACTCTTTGATGTCTAAAGAGGGATGAATTATGAGAGAAGGTTTTCCCACATTCACTACACCCAAAGGGCTTATCTTCTGAATGACCTCTGTAATGTACAGTGTAGCATGACAAATCCGAGAATGACTTTCCACATATATTACAGTCATAAGTTTTTTCCCCTTCTGGAATGGACTGGTGCCCAGTGAAGGCTGAATTTTCCAGGAAGGTTTTCCCACACTCGTTACACTCATAGTGTTTCTCTCCTAAGTCACTTGTGTGAGCAGGAAGACATTGCAGCTGGGAGAACTTCCCACATTCACTACACTCATGGACTTTCTCTTCTGTGTGTACCTTCCGATGCCTAATGAAAGCTGAGTTCAGATTGAAGGTTTTCCCACATTCTGTGCACTCATACGGTTTCTCTTCTAAATGGCTCCTATAGTGTATGGTGAGGTATGACACCCGAGAGAAGAACTTCCCACACTCACTACACTGATAGGGCTTCTCCCCTGTGTGTGTTCTCTGGTGTGTAATCAGAGTGGACTTTCGGTAGTAGGATTTACCACACTCATTACACTTATAAAGCTTTTCTCCTGTGTGTGTTCTCTGATGGTCATTGAGGGCAGACTTTCGGGAGAAGGATTTCCCACACTCACTACATGGATAGGGCCTCTCCCCGGAATGATTTCTCTGGTGTAGAGTGAGGTGTGTCTTTTGGCAGAAAGTTTTTCCACACTCACTACATTCATAGGGCTTTTCTCCTGAATGAGTTCTCAGATGTTGTGTGAGATGCAACTTCTGACAGAAGGTTTTCCCACATTCATTACACTTATAGGGTTTCTCCTCTAAGTGTGACCTCCGATGGACAGTGAGGGTTCCCTTTTGACTAAAAGACTTTCCACACACGTTACATGCATATGGTTTCTCTCCTGTGTGAGCCCTCTGATGTATGATGAATTTAGACTTCTTACAGAAGGATTTCCCACACTGTGTACATTCGAAGGGCTTCATTTCCAACTGTGACCTCTGATATGCACTGAAATCTGACATCTGGATGAAGTCTGGTTCAGAGTCATCCCATTCATAGGGCTTCTCCCCCATATAAGCGCTCTCATGAGCCATGAAAACAGCTTCACTGTCTAAGGCTTCCATGCACTCATAATCAAAGGGTTTCTCCAAAATGGTAATTTTCTGCAGAATACTTTCATCATGTTGAGAAGAAGTATCCCCATTTTGATCAAAGTCATCCAGTTTCTCTCTGTACGTTTTTCCACAGTCAATACACTTGTTGGGCTTCTCTACTGCATACCTTCCATCGCTACTAATTAATGCTGAAATGGATTCCAAAGTCTTCCCACAGGAAGCACAACTGTGAGCTCTTATGTTTGAAGAAGTGAGGTGTGGTTCTAGGTTATAAATTTTATCAGATGCACCCCCCTTCTCTGCTCTTTGGCTGTTGAGATCATCAGCTTGCCTCATATGTTTGTCTCCATTTTCTTGGATTTTCTCTATGGTATCATCAACTTTGCTGATTTCTGAAAAGGAGTTAAGATTGAACAAATGTTGTCAACATGAATATACAAGTTACAGGAGGAGATGGTACCTAAATGTCATTATGATCTATAACTAAAAGCTATTATGAGTATACAGGTTTCCTTTTCCTTTGATTTATAATATGTAATACATATGTGTATATATGTGGGGGGAATAAGTGGGAAGAGAGTAAATTTACACTGAAAACAAACACCATAGTTATTTTACAAATCACCTAAGAAATGATAGCAGAAAGCGCGGTTACTGAAAGGGAGTTAGACTTAGAAGTAGGACTCATAGCAAAGGGAAGCAGGGAAAAATAATAATTATTGGGCATATATGAAAAAGAAATGTTTTAATATGGCTTACGTTTGGGAGAAACAGATTCTCATTTATATCAAATGGCAATGCATCACCATACAAGGTGATTTCCACCCCAGATATTTCTGCATTTACACCAATGGCAATGCATATCACCACACAGAAATTGCCCCTTAGACTTCTGAAATCTTTGCTGTTGTTTTTGTTTGAAATAGTGTCTTTTTACTTAGCCCAGGCTGGCCTTAAACTTTCAGCAACTTTCCTGCCTTCCCTGGAGTTCTGAGACTACAGACCTGAGCCACTATGCCCAGTGAAGTCTTTGCCTCTCTAGCTGGCACATAAGTAAAAACATTCTGAAAGTTCCATTTTCCTCCCACTTAAAGAGAGTCCCACAACCAGGGCTTAGACAGTTTGTGATTCAAAGTAAATGCTCATTACATTCAGCCTTTAATTTCCTTTCAATGTCACAACTTAAATTTCCCCACACCAGTTATGACCTCCATCATAATATTTTCTCTTAATTCTGGATATAAATAAATTCCCATATTTCTGGATCTCACCTGATATAAAGTATACATTTCAAAAGCTTCCCTTACAATATTAATTGGAGTGACTACCTTTAAAAACTTCACCCTCTATTCACTTACCCAAATGATGCTGAGCATGGCAGTCACCTTCCATTGTCCACGGTTCTTCTCCCTGCTCCAACTTAATAATCACATTTGGCTTGGTAACGTCATACCCTGTTAACAAGAAAATGAGAAGGGCTGGGACTAATTGTTTGGCTGCAGAATCACTGTGGTACAGGAGCCACACCTCAAGTTATATCATACTCCTCCCATTTTTTACCTTTTGTGTATAGGGCTGTAACTAAGAGGCAGAGAGCACTTGCCTAACACATAGGAGCTTTGGGTCCAATATCAAGTACCACTAGGGAAAAAAGTAGACTCATCCAATGGAGCAGTAAAGACAGACTTCATGTCTGCCCCAAAGGACTAAGGAGTACTTGTTCCTTTACACTAAAGACGAATCACTGAAGTCATAGTATCTGAGAAGGCAACTGGTCCTCACCCACGGAGACGAGGTTGCTGTAGTTCTCCAGCATCACATCCCTGTACGTCGTCTTCTCCTCAGAGCCCAGCTGCCGCCACTCCTCCTGGGTGAAGGCCACAGCCACATCCTTGAATGACAGTGGGCCCTGCAATGGCACTGTCATCAGAATCAGGAGACATATAAAAGGCACAGGGAGAACAAGCTTTTCCCAAGCAACTGGTACAGTTAACCACAAACATTCTATACCTTAATGTTACAGAGCCTAGAAGGAAAACAAACCATATCACAAACATGTTGTCTTGGGAAACAAAAGCAAAAACAAAACTCTAATGTAACAGTTAACTATCAACTTGACATAATCTAGAACCATCTGAGAAAGGCTTCAGGGACAGGACAGACAGGACAGTCAGGTGACTGCTGAATCTGACTAGAAGCCAGGGGCTTTGGCAGTGCTGCCAGAGACAGGAGAAGACACAATATTTCAGACCTTCATCATTATATAATCATACATGCACTGTTCAAAGAGAAAATTTCTAAGTGAGATAAATGATAATTTATCTGTATGGGGTTATCAGGAATACAGACAAAACAGGACATCCATTCAACTCTATCCACAGTGGACAGGCTTTTTGTTTCCCTAAATGAAAATTTCTACAAAACCATTTCAGTGTGAATTAATTTGAGCAAATTAAGTCCCTCTGTGAACTCACCACTTCTAAAAAACTGACCCATTGCTCACTGAGTTAATCTCAGTGATCAACCTGAGACCCCAAACCACTGAGAAGAGAGGCCTCTAGCCATCCTTACGGAGGGTTATCTTGGTTAGGTTAAATGAGGCTGGAAGGCCCGCCTACCACGTGTGGCTTCATTCCCTTGGCTTACATCAGATTTCACAAGTAGAAGGAAGTGGGCTGAGAACAAGCATTCATGGCTTCCTGCTTTTTGATGGTGGATACAATGTGACCAGCTGTCTCCTGCATCTGCTGCTGACCTCCCGGCTGATATGGACTGTGAGCCAAAATAAGATTTGTCTCTCTTAATCTACATTCATCAGAGTAATTTCTAAAGATGTCATTATCTTATATGCATGAATGTTTTCCATGTATGTGTGTGTATGTATGTATGTATTTGCACATATGCACAGTATGTATGTATTTATATGTATGTATGTATGTATGTGCACATATGCACAGTACCTGTGGCTAGAAGAGGATATTGGATTGTCTGAAACTGGGGTTTGGGTGGCTGTGAGCCACCATAGGGTGCTGGGATCAACCCTGGAACCTCTGGAAGAGCAGCCAGTGTTAACTGCTGGCCATCTCTCCAGCCATGTTGCAGCAGCAGGAAAGGTAACTAGGCTGACAGGTCCCCTCTCTATTTACTTCCAGACTCCACAGCCATCACCCCTGTAAAGAGGTGAGGCAAGCAGGTAGCACTGGGACCCATTCGAATTAGCTGTTAATAATTTCTTTCTTTGCCTAGAATAGCAATCTAGGCTCAATTTCTAGTACCTCAGAGGAAAAAAAAATCTCCCACAAATTTAAACAGAATATTAAGAATCATCAACTAGCTAGGCAATGCTGGTGTACAGCTTTAATTCCAGCATTTGGGAGGCAGAGGCTGGAAGAATCTCTGTGAGTTCAAGGCTAGCCTGGTCTATAGAACTAGTTCCAGGAAAGCTGAGGCTACATAAAGAAACCCTGTCTGGGAAAACACCCAAACCAAAGAATCATCAGCTAAGGAAAACAGCAGAAACAAAAAGGCATCAAGATGAACAATTCAACATTAACAAAACTAAATTTATACATGAAAAAGAATTTAGTTTCTGTATATGTATGGGTGTTTTGCTGGCATGTATGTCTGTATACCATATGCATGCCTAGTGCCTACAGACGCCAGACAAAAGTATCGAATCTTCTGGAACTGGAGTCACAAAAAGTTGTAAACTGCCATGTGGGTGCTGGGACTTGAACTCGGGTCCTCTGGAAGATGGACTCGGCTCTTAACCATTGAGCCATCTCTCCAGCTCAGAGAAATTAAATTTTATCTATCAGTTTATAATTAAAAAGTATTGTGTATGTATGCACACTTACGCCATGGCACATGTGTGGAGACCAGTGGGCAACTTTGTGAAGCATGTTCTTTTCTTCCAGTACTTTGGCCAGTACAGAATAAACACCCACTAAATCATGACTCTAAATGCAAAAACAAGTGAAGCCAAATAGGAAAAAATAAAAGGGGACTGTTTGCAACCTTCCAAAAATGACTCCAAATGCAGAAATGAGGACTTCCACTCTCAACAGTGCAGGCGAGAGGAACAGGATGTATCCTCAATTCACAAGCGTCCATCTACATGCAGTTTTCTGCTGTGTTATGCTCACTGTGAGGGGAAGTGAGAGCTGCACTGTCTCCCTCCGCAGTTCTGTCAGGTATTGATTCCTGTGTTTTATTAGGCATGTAAACGCTTACGATTGTTAGGTCTGTCTACAACTGTGTGGTTAAGACTCTATGCTGTGGAATATTTAGCTATGTAAAGATCTGTTACATTTGTTTCCGCTGTGGAATATTATTTCAACTGTGTAAAGATGTGTTACATTTGTTTCTGCTGCATTTGTTTAATTATGAAAAAATGTGCTGCTGTTTTACCTTGCCTGACTAGGGAAAGAGCTGAACAGTGGATATCTGGGCAGGAGTGAGATAGGAGAGGCTGGTGAGCAGAGAGAAAGTAGGAGAAATCTAGGCTTGAGGAGAGAGGAGGAGGAGAGAACGGCTGAGAAAGAGAGGGAGATACCAGGGCCTGGCAGGCAGCTGCCAGCCAGCAGATACAGAGTAGGACATACATTAAAAAAAAGTAAAAGCCCCAAGGCAAAACATAGATGAAGAGAAACAGATTAAAGTAAGAGCTAAGCTAAGGCCAAGTACTCATAATGAATATTAAGTCTCTGTGTCAAGATTTGGGAGCTGGTTGCTGGTCCAAAAGGAAAAGTCTGGTACATCTCTATAATTCTATGTATGAGACTATGATTCTATGCATGACTATTAATTCTAAGGATAAGACTCTGATTCTGTGCATGACTTCATAATCCTATGGATAAGATTCTATGATTCTATGGATAAGACTCTCCCAATTGGACCCCCTAAAAAAAAAAAAGACCAAACAAAATCCCCAAGCACTTGTAATATTCTCTAGATTAAGCAATCACTTTGGTTTTTATTACATCTGTAGAGTGTATATTGTCTATTATTTCTGAAGCCATTCTGGCTCTCTCTTGAGTAACACTGGCATGGTGGCCTAGTGAGATGGCTCAATGGGTAAAAAGGACGTGCTACACAGCCTGACTATCTGGGGTCCACCCCCAAAATCCACAGGGAGAGAGAAAACTGACTTCTGCAAGTTGTTCTTTGACCTCTACATGCATGTAGTACACACTGCCTCCCCCCACACACACATGCAGTCACACACCAAACAAATTTCTAAAAAGTTGTCTTAAAAAAGAATCAGTACTTTGGAGCAAAGGAATGCAAGATTTCTTTTTGTTTGTTTTGTTTTTCGAGACAGGGTTTCTCTGTATTGTTTTGGAGACTGTCCTGGAACTCACTCTGTAGACCAGGCTGGCCTCAAACTCACAGAGATCCACCTGCCTCTGCCTCCTGAGTGCTGGGATTAAAGGCGAGTGCAAGATTTCTTTGTAAAATTCTTTTGTTTCTTTTTCTGAAATTACTTCAAAATAAAATGAATAAAAACAAACAAATGCTATCAAATATTTAAGAAGTGTTTGTAAAGAACTCAAAAACCAACTTAAAGAGATTATGTGGCCTCCAAACTCAATATTTAACTGTCAAGGTCAATCACACAACAATGCGTTGAGACACCTGAAACATTTTTAACCCTCAGACTCAGGGCAACAAAGCATGACGCCCACCGAGTGAGTAGTTCTAATCTGTCTTCTTTTTTTTTTTTTGGTTTTTGAGACAGGGTTTCTCTGGGGCTTTCGAGCCTGTCCTGGAACTTGCTCTGTAGACCAGGCTGGCCTCAAACTCACAGAGATCCGCCTGCCTCTGCCTCCTGAGTGCTGGGATTAAAGGCGTGTGCCACCAACCTAATCTGTCTTCTTACAGGAGTTATGTAGCCAAAATGGGGAGCATTCTAGCTCATACATGAAGAAGAAATGGTACAAAGAGTAGGCCATCACTCTGCTTTCTCTAAGAACTTTGTACACTGTGACAACCGCTATCACTTCATAGCTGCTAATCAATCAATGGAGACAGAAACATAGCAGACGTTTCTAGAAGGAAACACACAATAGCCATGTACAACAGTTTTGATGTCAGTGTTGTCAATTTTATAGAACCTAGAGTCACTTGGGGGATTGGCCTATTGGGATTGTCTTGATTAAAAAAGAAGGAAAGAAAAAAAAAAAAAAAGAAAGAAATGACATCTCCCAATAGTAGCTGCAGGTGATGTAATGGATGCTATTTTTCTTTAACCCTGTCAAGTAGCTTCATTAGCCTAAAATTATCACACTGCCTATACAACAGACCACGACAATCTGCCACTCACACTCTATTTTATATGATAATCATCTTTATTTATTCCTCCACTACCATTTTAAAGAACAGTCCTTTGCCAGTCTCCCAAAATATATTTCAAAGGAGAAAATAATATTTACAAATGGGAAAACTCACCTTTGATCTACTCATTTTCTGCTGCTCTTGGTAAAGTGCAGACATTCACTGCAGATGGTGGACCTATGGGAGGAAAAGGTCACTGAAATCGGCATTAACTGGTCTACACAGGCTCTCATCTCTTGCCTGGGAACCACCAAATGAAATCATAGCCTACAAACACTTTGAAGAGGTAACATGGGTGACAGAAAGGAACCACATATGTAATTCTAACAGGTAACATGGGTGACAGAAAGGAACCACATATGTAATTCTAACAGGCAGCAGTTGGATGGGCTACACTTTTTTTCAAGGCAAAGTTTCTCTCTAGAGCCTTGGCTATTCTGGAACTCAATCTGTAGACCAGGCTGACTTTGAACTCAGAGATCTGCCTGAGCTCTATACATTTGGGATTAATGTCCCATGAGTTGACATACATGTAATCTCAGCTCTCTGGAGGCTGAGACAGGAGGATCACCGAGTACCAGAACAACCTGGGCAACACAAGGAGTCCACGTCTCAAAAAATAAAAACATAAAAAAGAAAAGTGGTCCAGATGGACAGACGTCGTACTAACAGAAATAAGGTGTGGCTTGTTTTCAAACTATGCAACTAAACTTGGCTACTGCTGCACTTTTCAAAAAGGAATACGAGAGAAACTGGAAAACAATGGCACTCTTATCCACAAACCCCTGCACGGCTTTAGCTAAGTCACACACCGTCGCACTGAGTCTTCTTCCACGAGCAGAGGCAATAGCAGACTTCTGTACTACACTGTTAGGATGCTACAAGGGTAGTCAAAGTGCTATAAAGGTAGGAACCAGCACAGAGCACTGGTGCTGATGAGAATCTGGAGCCGCTGCCCCTACCAGTGCCTGCACACCTCGTCCTCGGACCGTCCAAGCATCCCAAAGCCGTGTGGCTGCCTTGCTGTCAGCCCCACCATCGCGACCCTTCCGGGCTCCGCACGCTGGAGACAGCTGGGAGCCCAGGTTGACATAGATCAGTAGGATCTCGGCGAGGAACCCGCCAGGCCCAGCCTCCCTCCCGCAGCCCCGATCAGCGCCCACCGGCCTCACCGAGCAGGCGGTCCCGCCGCCCCTGTCCTCCCAGTCCTCGGCCTCTGCGCTGTGCTCCCGCTAGGCCTTCCTGGACCGCACAGCCACGCGTGCCGGCTGCAGACCGGGAGACTCTGGCCTCGGACGCCCGCAGGTTCCGCTACTCCAAGTTAGCCAAGCCAAAAAGCTGCGAGAGAGACGGCAGCCTCAAGCCCGGAGCTGCAGGAAGTCAAGGCGGCGCAAAGGCCGTGCGCATGCACAAGCACGCGCGCGCGTAGGCTAAGACACGCATGTGCAGCATCTTACCGGAAGTCCGTGTTCCGGGCGCTCTTTTCGCCCCAGTAGGTGCTCAGAAACTCTATCTCCCAGAAGTCTTCGCGCTGCAGCATCTAGGGACCATCGCGCAAGAATGTACCTCCTCCCAGAAGCTCAGAGGCGACGCTCTGAGGGCAATGGCTTCGCCCAGGCATGCTCTCACCTTCGCGTTTGTCCTCACTCCCTTTGAGCCTGGAGAAACGGCCTGTGGGTTTAAGTCCCAAAACTTTTCTAGGCCTGAGATTCATAAAAATAGAAAGAAGATTCTGGCAGAAAGAGAGGAAATTGTGTGTCATTCTCAATTAACCAAACTTCCTTGAAATAGGCGCAAGAAATACCCGGCAATGATTTACAAAGAAGGAAGAGAAAACATAAATGGTGGGTTTTCCAGATCACACGACTAATGCACAGAAACTCTTAAAAACAGAACCAGAAAGAGCACACAGAAAGAAAACAGCTATCTATAATGTAACCTCTGAAAGATGATATGTAGGGTCAGGCAACGATGACAAACTTTCAAAAATGATACAATATGGTGAACAATTCATCAGTTTCTTGATGAAATCATGCAACAGTATTCTTGGCCTAATCTTTCATAAAGATGTTGGCGTCTGGGCCAGGCGGTGGTGGCTCTCATCTTTAATCCCAGCACTCGGGAGGCAGAGGCAGGCAGATCTCTATGAGTTCGAGACCAGCCTGGTCTACAAGAGCTAGTTCCAGGACAGTCTCCAAAATGCACAGAGAAACCCTGTCTCGAATCTCCCCCCCCCCAAAAAAAGACGTTAACGTCAAAATTAATACCAAATTTGCCAACCCAGAAAGTTGTCTGTGTTGATGCAGAAAGTAAAAGAGTTTCAGCATAGAAGGAGCACCAAGCCACCTTGAAACGCCAGTCTTAGGTAAACCATTGAGGAACCAGCAGGAGACAGAAGCATCCCTGAAAAACCCTTCAGGGTTTCAGGAGAAAGGGTGACTCCTCTTCCTCGGAAGGCCTGCACTGAAAGGCTAGCTGCCTCTTCTCCCAGGTCTGTCCTGACATCACCTGATAACTGAGGTGTCCATCTGAGCTGGTCCTTATCTCATGAAGCAAAAGCTCCCACATCCCTGTGACAAGCAGGTAGTGAATTTCTGAGTGAGAGGCCTGGACTAAACTCCCCAGGTAACAGGGAGATAGGAACTCTCTCTTTCCCACAGTTTACTGGTCTTTCAGAAAAGGAATTCCATGCTTGCAATGAGGACATTTAAAGCTTATATACTTTTTGTATTAAGAAAAGATTTCAATGTGTACAGACAAACGCGGGTCACCAGTCAGCAGGCTGAGATCCTTCCACTCTGCTCAGATAGGAACTGAGTAGGTAAGAAGCTCAACCTGTGCAGACATGCCAGGCTCTTGCGTTCCCACGGTCTACTCACTGGATCAGCTGACCAGGGTTTTTGACTCCAATCTCTGACCTAGAGGTTTGCTGTGCCCGACTTTAGAAACTAGAGACTTAATGCCGTGGCCTGGACACTTGGCAGCTGTTGTAACATATGGGCTCTAACAGTAGCAACAATAGCAACTGTACCTGCTAATGCTAATGACCCTGAATAGAGAGGTGTTGTGACTCTCAGTAGAGTGTTACAGTTATTGATTCCAAGAGAGATTCATAGCTTGATTAAATTCCCCAGATGACAGGAATATGGGGATGTCTTTTCATTGAGGTTTACATTGCAAAGAAGGGACTCTTAGGTCTTTCAGAAAAGGAAGTCCTTGCTTGAAACAAGGGCAGAAAGCTTATATAACAATAATAATTTAAAAAAGATATGTATCAAAGAGACAATATGTATCTCTACTGTGAATTTTCTCAAGGAAACATTCTTTCAGAAGGGTGGAAAACACTTTACCATATGTCAACAAGCAAAATTTAATATTTTATTTATATCTCATTGCTGGGGATAGAACCCACGCCTTCCTGTGTGTTAGGCAAGTGCTCTACTGCTGACTCATGCCCCTATCCCCTCACTGGGGAATTCTAGGCAGGTGCTCCACCACTGAGACACACCCCAGCCCCTCACTGGGGCAGTCTAGGCAGGTGCTCTACCACTGAGTCACACCCCAGCCCCTCACTGGGGGATTCTAGGATGGTGCTCTACCACTGAGCTGCATTTCTCAGTCCAAATTGTTTTTTCAAGCCATGTAATGCCAATCACAATATGAAAGAAGATGATAAAATATGGAACTAAAAGTAATAATGCTGAAGGACTAATGGTCATCATAAACCTTGATGAAAATATGTACTCTTGAACCTGGAGAGATGACTTAGCACTTAAGAGCACTGGCTTATCTCCTAGAAGACCCAGATTAGATTACCAAGACTCACATAGTGGTTCACAACTGGCTATAATTCTTCTGGCTTCTATGGACACAGCATGCTTGTGTTGTACAGACAAACATGAAGACCAAATATCCATACACAATATGCTTTAAAAGAAAAAAGTAATTCACTGTTGCAAGAGTACATGAATTATAAATCCACTTACACAAATATTTTTACCAATACAAATTATTTTAAAGGGAAATTGTGAAGTAAAACAAAATACTAACAAACTTGTGCTCTAAAAGATAAGGCCAATATCAAGCCCACAGAGGCTAACAACAGTACATTTTCCAGGGGGATAGATGTAAAATTGAGCGGGTATGTTCGGAGAGCACATGTGATGTTGGACAGAGCATCCAGTAGCTCTCCCATCCCAAAAATTCAATACAGGCAGACATTCGTGTTGCCTGCTGTGGTAATGTAGGACATTGTTCAGAAACTGGAATAAGTGAGCTGAGAATCACAGGCTGGAGGGAAGAAGGGGAAAGAAACTGTATCTTGTAATGAAGGATCCCAGTGTGTGCCCCCTTATCTTGGAGCAAAGAGGATGCATTTCAGGCAGAGTGGCAATAAGGGAAGATATGTGTTAAGGATGTGTGTACCTGATGTGTATATATAATGTATGCATCAACATTTCAGTTTTAATCTGTTTCATTTGTGTATGAATGAGCACGAATGTGCCATGATGCATGTATGGTCAAGAAAATAACTTTGGGGAGTTGGTTCTCTTGCTCCACTCATTTTTGAAACAGGTCTTATGTTGTTCCTGTGCTGGGTACTCTAGGCTAAGCTGGCCAGCAAGTTTCCTGAAGGCAGATTCCAGGCCCATGAGCTCCTCCTCCCATCTTGCTATTGGAGTTCTGGGATTCCAGATAAACTACCACATCTGTTTGTTTGTTTGTTTGTTTGCTTTTGACCTTGGCTCTGAGGGTGTGACCCAGGTCACCCAACTTTCACTGGAAAGCCTACTGAACCATCTCAACAGCCCTTCATCTTACCTTAAGGCTCCATAATTGCATGGATAAACCACATTTTGTTTATGCCCTCATCTGCTGACAGACACTCTCTGATCTGCTGATAGATGCTTGGAGGGTTTTCACTTTTGCCTATGATGAACAAAGTTGCTATGAACATCTGTGTTCAAGTTCCTGTGCGATTACCTCTGCAGAGATCACCTGAGTAACATCCAGGAGTTGGAATTTCTTCATCATCTGGCAATCCTGTGTTTGATTTCTTAAGGAGCCACCAACCCATTTTTCACATTGGCCACACCATTTCACAAGCCTGCCAGCAATACAGAGTGCTCACCATATTCTTGCCAACACTTGTCATTCTGCAATTTATTCATTACCACCATTCTCATGGGTGTGAAGTAGTATCTCATGGTTATTTTTCATTTGCACCCTGATTTTAAAAAAACATGTCCACTGGGGGCTGGAGAGATGGCTCCGTGGTTAAGAGTACTAGCTTCTCTTCCAGGGGCCTTGGGTTCAGTTCCCAGAACTCACATGGTGGCTCACAATCATCTATAACTGTAGTCCCGTGGACATGGAATCTGATGATGTTTTCTGGTATTCAGACAAAACACCCATACACATAACAAACAAACAAAAACCATATCCATTCCAAGACTGCCCATCAATTCATTACTGAATTTCCCCCATTTTATCTTCGTCTCTCTGTGTCTCTGTGTCTCCGTGTCTGTCTGTATGTATGTCTCTGTCTCTCTCTGTCTCTGTCTCTGTCTCTGTCTCTGTCTCTGTCTCTCTCTCTCTCTCTCTCTGTGTATGTGTGTGTGTAGACCTGGGGTCAGGTGTCTTCCTAAATTATTGTCTCCCTCCCTCTTTCTTTCCTTTCTCTTCCTTCCTTCCTTCCTTCCTTCCTTCCTTCTTTCCTTCTTTTCTTCCTTCCTTCCTTCCTTCCTTCCTTCCTTCCTTCCTTCCTTCCTTCTTTCTTTTTCTTTCCTAGAACCCAGTCCTAGGCAAATGCTCTACCACTGAGCAACATCCCCAACCCTCCACCTTGTTTTTTGAGTTTGGAGCTTGCTGATTCTACTAGACTGAACAGCCAGTGAGCCCCAGGGTTCTTCCTGCATCCGCCTCCCCACCATGGGACTACAAGCAAATGCTATGTATCTGGATTTTTCATTTTTTAATGTGGGTGCTGAAGATTGAACTCAGGTCCTTATGTTTGTGCAGCAAACAATTGGCCAACTAAGAAAATTGTCTGGTGCCCCACCTATACAATTTGTTTGTTTTTGAAACAGGTCTCACTCTGTAGCCCAGGCTGGCTTGGAACTTACAGTAATCCTCCTGCCTCAGTCTCCCAAGTGTTGGGATTGCAGGTGTGTGTCATCATGGTCAGTTGGATTATGAATCTTGTTTGGGGGGCTTGCTTAGGCTAGGCATGTGGGGACTTGCTCCCACATTCACAGAGCTATGTGGAAGGTCATCATATCAGTCCCTGACCCCTCCTCCACCAGCTTCCCTCATGCTCTACCTCTAGAGCAGCAACAAAACTCTGAACTAAATTGTTGTCCTATTGCAGGTAACCACATGGATGGTCGGGTCCTGGAGCTTGCCTCTGTGTGTCATGCTATCTAAATTCGCTTTCTTCAATCGTAAGTACTAGGCCTTCTCACCTGTGGGTGCACAACTTCACTCCTCTTGGTCCCCCAATTCATCCACTGTGGGGACCCATCCTGCACATAATTGGAACTTCTCCATGTGACTTCCAGGAGGTGGCAGCTCCTGTATGCATTCTCCCAGTGAAGGAAAATTGATAACCAGGGGCTAGGAAGATGGACCAGTGAGTAAAGTGCTTGTCATGCAAGCATGCGGATCTTAGTTCAAATCCCCAGAACCCATGTTATTTTTTTTAAAAAGACTGGGTGGTGGTAGTACATGCCTTTAGTCCTAGCACTCAGGAGACAGGGCAGGTGGTTCTCTGTGCGTTTGAGGCCAGCCTGGTCTACAGAGGGAGGCTACACAGAGAAACCTTGTCCCCCCCCCAAACAAAAAAGAAAGCAAGGGTGGGGGGGCTTGGGACTGTAATCTGAGCTGGGAAGATGGAGACAGGAGACCCTCCTGTACTTGCTGGGTAGTGAGTCTAGGTGAGCCATCAGGCTGCAGGTTCAGTATGAAACTGTCTCAAAAACACAAGGTGGAGAGCTGTCGAGATGACTCAATGAGTAAAGCACCTGTTCCCAAGCTTCACCGACTGTGTAACACTGAGCCTGTGACCCACACGATGGAAGGAGAGTAATGACTCCAGAAAGCTGCCTCTGACTTCTGCACCTGCCCAACCCTGCTGCAAATAAAATAAATTTTGAATGTCTAATAAGGTGGAGAGCAATTGAGGAAGACCTGATGTCTACCTCTACATGCACATATATGTGTCTCCACACAAAAACATGTGCAAAACATAAGTTAAAATTTTTATTTTATTTTATATGTATGCGCTGTATGACTGCACATCCTATGTGTGCAGTACCCTTGGAGACCAGGAGATGGCTTCAGATCCTCCTGGTAGTAGAGTTACAGCTGGTTGTGAGCTACCTTGTGGGTGCTGGTAATTAAACAGGTCTTCTGGAAGAGCAATCAGTGCCCTTAACCACTGAGTCATTTCTCCAGCCCCATAAACTTAAGTGCCAAGGAGATGAAACATGACCATGCCTCCAGTGGCAGCTTTGTGTATGGATGTCTTGAAGATCAAAGTGAAGGCGTGAGTGGTGTTTGCCTTGATCCCCAGTCCTGGATTTTACAATATGCTTCCTGTAGTAGTCAGAGACAACCACACACTGAGATCAAGGGCAAGGGCAGAGCTGCAGACCCAACAAGGTGTGGAGAAATGAGGGATAGATACCTGACTAAGCTTCCCTCCCAGGTCTCCATGTTTACACAGGCATCAAAGGTTGCAAGAGGAGTTGACTGTATGGTTTCTCAGAGGATTCTGGCCTGTCTCCACTCAGCAAAGAAAGCCTTCCTTCACACCCTCCTCACTCAAAAGTGCTCTCCCTTTGCTACTCCCTCAACAGACACTTAGGCTTTCTTTGTGAAAAGTTGACATTTGTTTATAGCACACATATGGAGGTCAGAGGACAGTTTGTGGAAGTCAGTTATCTCCTTCCTCCATGTGGATCAAACTCAGATCAATAGGCTTGGTGGAAAATGCCCTGACCTATGTAGCCATCTCAGCACCACTAGATTTGCCTTAAAAAATCCCTGTTGAATTATAAGTCTGTGTGTGTATCAGTCAATGATTAAGCCAGGCCTCTTTCTTCTGCTGTTAGAATCAGTGAAGCTTAACCCAGGAATCTGTATTTCTGGGGAAGCCACAAGTCAACATCGTATGTCTTCCTCTGTCTCTCTCCTCGAGTATGTGTGGTGGTGGTGGTTGTGTGTGTGTGTGTGTGTGTGTGTGTGTGAGTGTGTGTGTGTACACCTATGCAGACCTGTGATTGTGCGAGAGGCCAGAGGAGGGTATCGAGTAGACTCTATCATTCTGTGCCTTGTTTCTCATTTCTCAGCAAGGCTAGCAGCCAATAAACCGCAGGGATCCTCCTGTTCTCTCTTCACAAATGCACACACACACACACACACACACTCACACATACACACACACACCACCTGGCATTTAAGTATTGGAGAGACTGTGTCTGGCTTGTGTGATTGCTGAGATTTGAACTCAGGTACTTATGGTTGCATACTAAACACTCTTAATGATGGAGGAATCTCTCCAGCCTCATCCCTCACTCAGTATACAAAGAAACCAGACATGGAAGATGGTTTTGTTCATGGAATGAGTCTAGGTCAGTGGCAGGAGACATGTCAACCCTAGATCATGAGAGAAAGTGGACACATTAATCCATAAGTTACACAAGCTCTCTTTCAAGCTGGTTTTCAGGCTGAAAAGATGATGACATAACAGGTTTCTGCTCTCTTTATATGAAGGGCCACACTCCCTGGTGCTAGGCATCTCCACAGACAACAGTGTCTTTTCAGAGCTACACTCTTTTTTTTTTAAGATTTTTTTTAAAATTTTATTTTCCAGTTTAAATTTGGATAAGAAACAAGGTTGCTTCACAAGTCAGTTCCAGGTCCCTCTCCCATTCCCTCCCTTCCTCCCGAGCCCTCTCCCCCCCCCCGTTATCCCCTCATTTCCCCAGGGAGGGTGAGGCCCTCCATGGGGGTGTGCATAGTCTGTCATTTCATATAGGGCAGGGCCTAGACCCTTCCCCAAGAGTTCGGGTGAGAGTGCACCTCACATTGTTCTATGGGAGTCCAAAGTCCGTGTGTATACTTGGGATGGGTACTGATCTGCTGCCCAAGGCTCAATAGATTCCCTAGGCCTCCTCACTGACACCCAGATTCAGGGGGTCTTGATCAGTCCCATGCTGGCTTCCCAGGCTGATGCCTGGGATTCAAGAGTTAACCTTTGTCTGGTCAGCTGTTTCTGGGGGTTAAACCAGCCCAGTCTTAATCCCTTTGATCATCAGTCCTCCCTCTCTGTTACTGGCTTTCTTGAGTTCAGCTCAGTACTTAACCAAGGGAGTCTGCCTCTTCTTCGATCAGCCACTAAATAAAGTTTCTGTTTCCCAGACTCTCTGGCCATAGGATTGAATGCTGGCACTCCCCAGATCTATGTCTAAAATCCATATATGAGAGAGTACATGCCATGTTTCTCTTTTTGTGACTGGGTTACCTCACTCAGGATGGTTTCTTCTAGTGTCGACCATTTGCCTGCGAATCTCATGATTCCATTATTTTTTTCTGCTGAATAGTACTCCATTGTGTAGATGTACCACATTTTCTCTATCCACTCTTCAGGTGAGGGACATCTAGGTTGCTTCCAAGTTCTGGCAATTACAAATAAAGCTGCTATGAACATAGTGGAACAGACATCTTTGTTGTATGAATGGGCATCTTTTGGATATATGCCTAAGAGTGGAGTTGCTGGGTCTTGTGGTAGGTTTATTCCCATTTTTCTGAGGAATCTCCATACTGATTTCCAAAGTGGCTGTGCAAATTGGCACTCCCACCAGCAATGGAGGAGTGTCCCCCTTTCACCACATCCTCTCCAGCATAAATTGTCATTGGTGTTTTTGATTTTAGCCATTCTGACAGGAGTGAGATGGTATCTGAGAGTTGTTTTGATTTGCATTTCCCGGATGGCTAAGGATGTTGAGCACTTTCTCAAGTGCCTCTCAGCCATTTTAGTCTCCTCTATTGAAAACTCTCTATTTAGTTCTGCAGCCCACTTTTTAATAGGGTCCTTTGGTGTTTTGGAGACTTGCTTCTTGAGTTCTTTGTAAATTTTGGAGATCAACCCTCTGTCAGATGTGGGATTAGTGAATATTTTTTCCCATTCTGTGGGCTGCCTTTTTGTCTTACTGACTGTGTCCTTTGCTTTACAGAAGCTTCTCAGTTTCAGTAGGTCCCATTTATTAATTGTTGATCTCACTGTCTGTGCTACTGGTGTTATGTTCAGGAAGCTGTCTCCTGTACCAATTCGTTCAAGGGTACCACCCACTTTCTCTTCTAAGAGGTTCAGTGTGGCTGGATTTATGTTGAGGTCTTTGATCCATTTGGACTTAAGTTTTGTGCATGGCGATAAACATGGATCGATCTGCATTCTTCTACATGCCAGTCTCCAATTATGCCAGCACCATTTGTTGAAGACGCTTTCTTTATTCCATTGTATATTTTTAGCTTCTTTGTCAAAGATCAGATGTTCGTACGTGTGTGGGTTAATACCCGGATTTTCAATTCGATTCCATTGGTCTACCTGTCTATTTTTGTGCCAATACCAAGCTGTTTTCAGGACTATAGCTCTATAATAGAGCTGGAGGTCAGGGATGGTGATGCCTCCGGACGTTGCCTTGTTGAACAGGGTTGCTTTGGCTATCCTGGGTCTTTTGTTTTTCCATACAAAATTGATTATTGTTCTTTCAAGGTCTGTGAAGAATTGTGCTGGGATTTTAATGGGGATTGCATTGAATCTGTAGATTGCTTTTGGCAGGATTGCCATTTTTACTACATTGATCCTACCTATCCAAGAGCATGGGAGATCTTTCCATTTTCTGAGGGCTTCTTTAATTTCTTTCTTTAAAGATTCAAAGTTCTTACGATACAGGTCTTTCACTTGTTTGGTTAGCGTTACCCCAAGGTATTTTATGTTGTTCGTGGCAATTGTAAAGGGTGATGTTTCTCTGATTTCTCTTTCAGCCCTTTTATCATCTGTATATAGTAGGGCTACTGATTTTCTTGAGTTGATCTTGTAGCCTGCCACTTTGCTGAAGGTGTTAATCAGCTGTAAGAGTTCCCTGGTAGAGTTCTTTGGGTCATTGATGTAAACTATCATATCGTCTGCAAACAGTGAAAGTTTGACCTCTTCCTTCCCAATTTGTATCCCCTTGATCCCCCTTTGTTGTCGTATGGCAATAGCTAGAACTTCAAGTACCATGTTGAAAAGGTATGGAGAGAGTGGACAGCCTTGTTTTGTTCCTGATTTTAGAGGAATTGCGTTGAGTTTCTGTCCATTTAGTTTGATGTTGGCTGTTGGTTTACTGTATATAGCTTTTATTATGTTTAAGTATGTCCCTGTTATCCCAGATCTCTCCAAGACCTTTATCATGAAGGGGTGTTGGATTTTGTCAAAGGCTTTTTCAGCATCTAGTGAGATGATCATGTGATTTTTGTTTTTCAGCTTGTTTATATGGTGGATTACGTTGATGGATTTTCGTATGTTGAACCATCCCTGCATCCCTGGGATGAAACCTACTTGATCGTGGTGAATGATTGTTTTGATGTGTTCTTGGATCCGATTTGCCAGTATTTTATTGAGTATTTTTGCATCAATGTTCATGAGGGATATTGGTCTGAAGTTCTCTTTCTTAGTTGTATCTTTGTGTGGCTTGGGGATCAAGGTTATTGAAGCCTCATAGAAAGAGTTTGGCAAAGACCCTTCTGCTTCTATTGTGTGGAACACTTTGAGAAGAATTGGTATAAGCTGTTCTTTGAATTTCTGGTAGAATTCTGCAGTGAGGCCATCTGGACCTGGGCTTTTTTTGGTTGGGAGACTTTTGATGACAGCTTCTATTTCCATAGGGGTTATAGGTCTATTTAAATTGCTTATCTGTTCTTGATTTAATTTTGGCAATTGATAGCTGTCCAGGAAGTCATCCATTTCCTTTAAATTTTCAAATTTTGTGGAGTACAGGTTTTCAAAGTATGACCTAATGATTCTCTGGATTTCCTCAGAGTCTGTTGTTATGTCCCCCTTTTCATTTCTAATTTTGTTAATTTGCGTGTTCACTCTCTGCTGTTTGGTAAGTTTGGACAAAGGTTTGTCTATCTTGTTGATTTTCTCAAAGAACCAACTCTTCGTTGCATTGATTCTTTGTATTGTTTTCCTGGTTTCTACTTTATTGATTTCAGCCCTCAATTTGATTATTTCCTGGCGTCTACTCCTCCTGGGGGAGTGTGCTTCTTTGTGTTCTAGAGCTTTCAGCTGTGATGTTAATTCTCTGGTATAACTGTTCTCCTGTTTCTTCATGTGAGCACTTAGCGCTATGAACTTCCCCCGTAGCACTGCTTTCAAAGTGTCCCATAGGTTTGGGTATGTTGTGTCTTCATTCTCATTGAATTCGAGGAAGTCTTTAATTTCTTTTTTTATTTCCTCTTTGACCCAGGGATGGTGCAGTTGAGCATTATTCAATTTCCATGAGTTTGTAGGTTTTCTGCAATTTGTGTTGTTGTTGAATTCTAATTTTAATGCATGGTGGTCTGATAAGATGCATGGAGTTATTCCAATTTTTTGTAGCTGCTGAGGTTTGATATGTTGCCAAGTATGTGGTCGATTTTTGAGAAGGTTCCATGTGGTGGTGAGAAGAAGGTATATTCTTTTTTATGTGGATGAAATGTTCTATAGATATCTGTTAATCCCAGTTGGGTCATTACTTCTATTAGACCTTTTGCTTCTTTGTTGAGTTTCTGTTTGGTATTCCTGTCTAGTGGTGAGAGTGGTGTGTTGAAATCCCCCACTATAACTGTGTGGGGCTTTAGATGAGATTTAAGTTCTAATAATGTTTCTTTAACTAATGTGGATGCCTTTGTATTTGGGGCATAGATGTTCAGGATAGACACTTCATCTTGGTGGGTTTCACCTGTGATGAGTATGTAATGACCTCCTTCATCTCTTTTGATTGATTTTATTTTAAAGTCTAGTTTGTTAGATATTAGGATTGCTACCCCTGCTTGTTTCTTGGGTCCATTTGATTGAAAAATTTTTCCCAACCTTTAACTCTCAGGTAATGTCTGTCTTTAAGGGTGAGGTGTGTTTCTTGTATGCAGCAGAAGGAAGGGTTCTGTCTTCGAATCCAATCTGCCAGTCTGTGTCTTTTTATAGGTGAGTTAAGGCCATTAACATTGAGGGATATTAATGACCAATGATTGCTCATCCTTCTTCGATTTGCGATGGTTGTTGTTGGTGGAATTATGTGTGGAATTTCACACCTTTGTTCTTTTGGCTGTTGGTAGAGAGGGATTCTCTAATGCTTATGTTTTTCTGGTTGTAGTTAGCTTCCTTGGGTTGGAGTTTTCCTTCCAAAATTTTCTGTAGGGCTGGGTTAGTGGCCACATATTGCTTGAATCTAGTTTTGTCATGTAATATCTTGTTTTCTCTGTCTATAGTGATTGAGAGCTTTGCCGGGTATAGTAGTCTGGGCTGGCATCCATGGTTTCTTAGTGCAGGTAGAATATCTATCCAGGACCTTCTGGCTTTCAGAGTTTCCATGGAGAAATCAGGTGTAATTCTGATAGGTCTGCCTTTATATGTTATTTGACCTTTTCCCTTAGCTGCTCTTAATATTCTTTGTTTATTCTGTATGCTTGGGGTCTTGATTATTATGTGGCGAGGGATTTTTTTTGTGGTCCACTCTATTTGGTGTTCTGTAGGCTTCTTGTACCTTCATTGGCATGTCTTTCTTAAGGTTGGGGAAGTTTTCTTCTATGATTTTGTTGAATATGCCTTCTGCCCCTTTGAGGTGGATTTCTTCTCCTTCTTCTATACCTATTATTCTTAGGTTTGGTCTTTTCATGGTGTCCCATATTTCCTGGATGTTTTGTGTTAAGGATTTGTTGGATTTAAGGTTTTCTTTGGTTGATAAATCCATTTCTCCTAGTGTATCTTCAACACTTGAGATTCTCTCTTCCATCTCTTCTATTCTGTTGGTAATGCTTGTATTGGTAGTGCCTGACTGTTTGTCCAGCTTTTCTATTTTCTGCCTTTCTTCAGATTGTGTTTTTTTTAATGACTCTATTTCAGTTTTCAACCCTTGCAGTGTTTGCATTGCTTCTTGCAATTTTCTGTTTATCTGTTCATCCGTTTGTTGCCTTTCATGAATTTTTTGGTTTGTTCTTTCTTCCATTTCTTGCATTTTTTGGTTTGCTTTTTGTTCCATTTCTCGCATTTTGTGCTTTGTTTCTTCTTCCATTTCCTGCCTTTTTTGGTTTGTTTCTTCTTCCATTTTTTCCATTTTTTGCTTTGTTTTTTCTACCATTTCTTGCATTTTTTGCTTTGTTTCTTCTTCCATTTCCTGCCTTTTTTGGTATGATTCTTCTTCCAATTCTTGCATTTTTTGCTTTGTTTTTTCTTCCATTTCTTGCATTTTTTGCTTCATTTCTTCTTCCATTTCCTGCCTTTTTTGGTTTGTTTTTTCTTCCAATTCTTGCATTTTTTTGGTTTGTTTTTTCTTCCATTTCTTGCATTTTTTGGTTTGTTTTTTCTTCCATTTCTTTGAGGGATTTTCCAATATCCTCTTTTAGGGCCTCTATCATTTTCATGAAAGTGCTTTTAAGGTCGTTCTCTTCTGCTTCGTCCCCATTGGAATGTTGGGGTCTTGCTGGTGTGGAGTCTCTAGAATCTGGCGGTGTCATATTTGTTTTTCGGTTGCTGACTGTGTTTTTGTATTGTCTCTTTCCCATCTCTTCTTCTAGTGGGTGCAGAAAGAGCCCCTTACTGGTCTGGGGACCAGAGTTCCCTTTTGGTGGGTGCTAGCAAGTCCAATAATCTGGTGGTTCTTCTATTCCTTGTCCCAATGCTGGTCCTGGTCTCCCTGGGTCCTCTGGTTTCCTGGTCTCGTTGGTGGGAGAGAAGACTTGGGGTCTGGGTGCTTGGCTCCCGCCGGGATTGGGAGCTCTGTGCAGTTCCCAGGCGATCTGCAGGCACTGGAGCACAGGCTGGGAAGCCGGCCTGTTTACCTGATGCTGCCCGAGGAACAGCTGCTTCCCTGGACTCCCAGCCTCCTCTCCTTTCCTGGTCTCATTGGTGGGAGCGAAGATCTGGAGTCTGGGGTGCTTGGCTCCCGCCGGGATTGGGAGCTCTGTGCAGGTCCCAGGCGATCTGCAGGCACTGGAGCACAGGCCGGGAAGCCGGCCTGTTTACCTGATGCTCCAGAGCTACACTCTTAAGATCTCAGACAAAGGAAGGTGAATCAAGTGTGGATTCGGTGAGAGTCCAGGAGGAGGGCTGGATAGATCAGAGTCTGGGATTTGTAGAAGGTAGGAAACAGCTTGGGAGAATTGTAACCACTGGCCAACTGTCACTGTGTTCTCAACAGAGTCCTCCACCTGGCATCACCAGGCCCTTACCTGTGGGGAGATCTTGGGACCAACAGGTGGGGGAACTGAGTGAGAAGAGATGTGCGAAGCAGATAGGAAGGAGGAAGGACCCAGAAGGAAGGAAGGAGGGCCCAGGAGGCAGGATTGGAGGAGGAGAGGACAGAGGGTCAGACACAGATGTCACATGGACTGGAAATCTGCAGAGCAAGGAAGGGGTTAGGCACTGAGTCAACGACGGGACAGAGAAGAGAGGACACAAGAAGAGACCTCTCTTCATGGGGACGATTGGTCTCTAATGAGGAAGAGTCTGGAGGAACAGGGAGAGGGGACAGGACTAGATGAGGGGCAGGTGGCTAACAGCAGAGGGAAATAGCACGATGGTTTGGGGAAAGGCAGAAGCTGAAGAGGCTTGGTGTGTCTGGGGTGTTTGGGGATACCATGGGGTAGGGCTGAGATCATCAAAACCTGAGTTCACACTGGGGTGTGGGTTCTTTACTTAGAACCAAGAGAGGAGCCTCCACCCACCAGCCCAAAGAGGAAGAGGGACTTGTCATCGGATTCTGAGGATAACCTGTCAGAGCTGCTAGAACCTGATCCCAAGTTGGTGTGGTCTATAGAGACACTGTGTGGGCTCAGAATGAAGCTGAAGAGGAGGCGCGTGTCTACAGTGAGGCCTGAACACCATGAGGTTTTCACCAGGCTGCTGGGTAGGTGACACCTGCATGACTCCCTCCTTAGGAAAAAGAGGGAACTCCTAGTCAACTTCCTTGCCCCTGGGAAAGCTGCCCTCACAGCTCAGTTGATTCTCAAGGACCCATGGGTGGAGGGGCTTAGGCTAGAGTTGACATAGGTCCACATGGGGATGAGAGAGGCTGGAGTTCATCACCCCAGCTATAACTTAGCTCTGACTTTGCTGAGCTGGGGTGTCTCCGCCTACACAAGTGCGACATATCCATGTTCATAACCTCGTGTGACATCAAATGGGAACATCAGCTGTTGAGCATCTTGGTCCTTGGCTGTAGGTGGAGTCCAGCATATGCTGAGCCTTGCATTGATTCCAGAGTGGCATACGCATAAAAGGCAACGAAGTGTGTACACAGGCCGCTGTGCTCTAAGTCTCTCACAGCCTCATCACAGCAGGTTCAGGTGGGATCTCTGACACTGCCCCCGATCCATCCTCCAGTCGCTCCTGTGTCTGACTGCGGTTCTGACCTGATCCTCTCCCAGGAGGCCGTTCTCCTGGCTGTCTCTCCCAGATGTTCCCCATCACACCATGACACATGTGCTTTGTTCACAGAGGATCCTGTGGTAAAAAAATTCCTGGCCTGGGACAAGATGCTGAGAGTGTCTGATAAGGTGTGCTGAGCTGGGCTCCAGATCCTGTCCTGCCCGGGGAGGGGCCTCCCTGGACCACAGTCCTCTGTCCCTCCACAGTGCCCCCTGAAGCCACACAGCCCTGACCCTTGGTACCCTGCCGGGGTCTCTCTTCAGGGCCCAGCAGTGCCTTACAGAGTGGACAGGATGCCCATGCCTCACTGGAGTCCTTGGAATCTGAGCCCATGGTCACCATCTTACCCTGGGAATTGCCTCTTCTCTCCTCACAGCTCTCTGGGACCCTTTGTTCCCTCAGGGCAAAGACCACCTTGTCCCTGTTGACCCAAGCCCTTCCTCAGAATTGACCCAGAGCCAACCATGCTGGAGCAGCAAGGGCCTCCTCGCTCTGGCCTGGCTTGTCTGAAAATCCCTTTCACCTGTCCTTCCTCACTCCAGCAGGCACCCAAAACTCGGGGATCCTCTCTGAGCCTCATGCCACCTCAGCCTCCCCTTCCCCTGTCCCTAGACTCTTCCTCTCCAGGGTGTGACGTCTCCTTTCCTGTCTCCTCTCTCCACCAGTACCTCCTGTCTATGGTCATAGCTTATTTCAGCCGTGCTGGGCTCTTCTCCTGGCAGTATAGGCCAATCCACTTCTTCCTGGCTCTGTGAGTATTTTGTCTCCTCCTGTTGGTCACTATTCCAGCCCTGCATGTGGGGTCATGAGAAGTGGGCCTCTGGCCTTTCATCTCTCATATACCTGGTTTTGTAGTTTTATGAGGGAAAACAAGCTAATGTCCATTTTAAAACAAGTGAGTAACTGGAGAGATGACTCAGTCGATAAAGCACTTGCCGTACATTCATTAGGACCTGAATTCGGATCCCTAGAGCCCAAATGAAAAGCCAGGGGTAGTAACATATGGTTGTTATCCAGTGCTGGGGAAAGAGTCATCAGGATCCCTGGGACTCACTTACAAGCCAGCCTAGACTCATTGACAAGATTTATGTCCCAGGGAAAGGCTCTATATGGTTCCTGATGCTCAATACCTGATGTTCACTTCTGGCCCCCACACAGACACAGTGTATGTGCAGCACAAATGCACACACACACACACACACACACACACACACACACACACACACACACACACACACACACTGAAAAACTGAACAAGAGACTGGAGAGGTTGCTGCCTGCTCTTCCCGAGGACTTGGACGTGATTCCTAGCATCCACATGACAGCTCACAGCTGTAACTGTAGTTCCAAGGGCCACAAAGCCCTCTTCTGGCCCCCTTGGGCACCAGCCATGCACAGGGTACACAGGCATACATGCAGGGAAAACAGCCATATAGAGATAAAGCAAGCAGGGCATTGGTGGTGCACATTAATCCCAGCATTGGGGAGGCAGAGGCAGGCGGATCTCTGTGAGTTTGAGGCCAGCCTGGTCTACAGAGTGAGTTAAAAAGAAAAGAAAAGAAAAAAGAGATAAAGCAATAAAATAAAGTAACTCAAAAACAAGAGGAAACAGTGAAAGATCTGGGGTTTGGGTTCGAAGGGGGCAGGTGATCTGGAAGTGGTTGCTGCTGTTTCTTCTTCTTCTTCTTCTTCTTCTTCTTCTTCTTCTTCTTCTTCTTCTTCTTCTTCTTCTTCTTCTTCTTCTTCTTCTTCTTCTTCTTCTTCTACTTCTTCTCATTCTCCTTCTTCTCCTCCTCCTCGTCCTCGTCCTCCTCCCCTCCCTTCCTCCTCCTCTTCTGTTTCTGTTTTGTTTTGTTTTGTTTTGTTTTGTTTTGTTTTTTGAGGTCGTGTTTCTCTGTGTGGCCCTGGAGAGTCAGGGCAGATGGAGGAGGCTGTAAACTCCCTTGGAGAACTGAGAAATCTGGGTACTTGTAAAGCTAGAATCAGCCATTGAAAGGAGAGGAAGAGAAGGTGCTGAGCCTGGGCTGACACAGGTGTGTGTACACCACACAGGCTGGGGAAGACGGAAATGATGGAGAAGGGAACCCTGAGGTCATCTTATGTTGAAAACGGAAGGAACAGCATCAGGCTCTGTAGATGTGACAGGTGCTTCCAGATGGCTTCTGTCCATAGTAGGCTGGTTTGCCCATCACGCTGGGCAGGACTGATGCCATCCAGTGACGACATGCTCCCTGCCCCTCCTGGATCCTCCTTGGTAAAGAACCATATAACACCCTGATTTCCTCCCCAGGTACCTGGCCAATGACATGGAGGAGGACAACCAGGCCCCTAAACAAGACATTTTTTACTTCCTCTACGGGAAGAGCTATGCCCAGCGCCCCATGTTCCACAAACTGCGGTTCCAGTTCATTCGATCCATGCGCTGGAGGATCTGGGTGTCTCGGGAGGAGTGTGAAGAGGTGGGTGGGTGTGGGCTGCAGGTTGCAGGGGGATGGGCTGGACAGACAGAGAGAGGAATGCGGTTGAACGTGGGAGGGGGGATTGGGGAATAAAAGAGCTGGAAGGTGGATTCAAGGATGCGGAGTCTTCCGGGAAAGTCAGTATCTGCTCCTGGAACTGTGTTTTTTTTTTTTTCCTTCCAGATCCAGGCTTACAACCCAGAGCTGTGGGTGTGGGCACGAGATCGCACCAAACTGACCTACAACCCCTAGATCCATGGAGGCCTGAGGCCACTGATCTGAGATAGGTATGTCCTTGGTGTCTTTTAAAGTGTGTACATCTGTCTGTGGTCTAATTAAGAAAGGCGCAGAATCCACACACATACTTGACACACTCACATCCCACACTTACCTCCATACTGTGAGACAGCTCAGCCACACATAGCTGGACCCTCCCCATCACTGCATACACAGAGGTGACAACCAGGAGGGAGATGGGGTATGCACCTGGAGGCCAACCAGCTGACCTTGGAAATGGACATTTTTGTCACAAAGACTTGAACTGGGAGAAATCCTTCTACTTCATGCAACTGGGTCCAAATGTGTTTGAGAAAATATGGGTTTCTGTTCACCCTGCGTGTTCTGCAGCTCTGCAAATCCTTGGCTGTAATTTACACTTGTTTTTCATGTTTTCTGAGTGTATATCTGTGTGGTATGCATATGTATGTATGTATGTATGTATGTATGTATGTATGTATGTGTGATGCACATCTGTGGGGAGAAGCTCTTAATGCTGAGTGTCTTCCTTCATGGCTGTCTACTTTATCATGATATAGTATGTTGTTGAACATATGGTATGTCGTCAATGGCAACTAGTCTAGTTAGCCCATGTTCTCCAGGGAGCTTTGTCTGTGCCTACTGTGTATCAGGATTGCAGGTGGCTCTCCGGCCTGCCTAGCTTCTATGTGGGTTCTGGGGGTCCAAACTCCAGTCCCCATACTTGTAACCAGTTTACCCACTGAACCATCACCCCAGCCACCAACTGTACCCAAGTCTGTGCTTCAGTGTCCAGGACCACCTTCTTTAGTTACTTTTGGGACACTCTGGTGGAAAGAACTGGAGAGGGGCTTATTTTGCACCACAGTTTCAGACCATCATTATGGATGAGGTATGGCCAAGTGGCTCTGTCTGTGGTGTGACCAGGATGCAGCAAAAGACTGGAATCAAGAGTGTGTATGACCTTCAAAGGCCCAGGAGTAGAGAGATGAGTCAGCTAAGTGCCTGCCTTGCAAGCATGAGGACCTGATGCCCAGAACTCATGCCCAAAACAGCCCGGCACTGTGGCATGTGCTTGTAATCCCAGCACTGGGGAGGAGGAGACAGGCAGATCTCTGGGCCTGGCTGGATAACCAGCCTAATGAATTGGTGAGGGCTAGGACAGTGAGAGACTGTTTTTCCTAAAATCATCTGGGAGCTAGAGAGATGGCTCAGCAGTTAAGAGCAGTGACTGCTCTTCCAGAGGACCCAGGCTTGAGTCCCAGCACTCACATGGCAACTCACAACCATTCATAACTCCAATTCCAGAGGATCTGGTGCCCTCATATGGTCTCTAGGAGCACTGTATGCACATGGTGCAAATACATACAGGCAGACAAAACGCCCGAGGACTACACACACACACACACACACACACACACACACACACACACACACAGAGAGAGAGAGAGAGAGAGAGAGAGAGAGAGAGAGAGAAAGAGAGAGAGAGAGAGTAACTCAAGGGCCAATAGGATAGCTCAGCAGGTAAAGGTACTTGCTGTCATGTAAGTTCAACCCCTGGGACCCACATGGTAGAAGGAAATAACCAACTCCTGCAAAATTTCCTCTGACCTCTGCAGTCATTGCTGTTGCACACACCTGCCCCGTAAATAAATGGCAATAAAAATTTAAAACAAGGGACTGGAGAGGTGTCTCAGTGGTTAAGAACACTAGCTGTTCTTCCAGAGGTCCTGAGTTCGATTCCAGGCAACCACATAGTGGCTCTCAACCATCTATAATGGGATCTGATGCCTTCTCCTGCCTGTAATGCAGGCACATGTGCAGACAAAGAACTTAGAGAACTTGTACATATAAATAAATAAATAAGTTTAATTAAAAAAACAAGTGACCAAAGAGGAGCAAAGTGAGAATTAGTCCAAAACAATATTCTGAGAATCTGGTCCACACCACAAGCGGATCCTTCTCTGGTCCTTGCTATCAGGCAGGGTACTGGGCCCACATTAGACAGCTTAGATGATTCTTGGGATCTAGGTCAACTAGTCTGAAAATCACACTTGAAAATGATGCTTCAGGCTTAGGAGTTAAAAATCAAGGGTCAGTCAGGCCTGGTTGTGAAAGCTGTAACCTCAGCACCCAGGAGGCAGAGACAGGAGGCCCACTGTTCAAGACCCATCCTAAGGCCAGCCAGAGGAGTGCCTGTCTCAAAACAAGGCATGGGTTAGAGACAACTCATCTGGGAAGATTACTTCCTGTTCTTGCAGAGGATGCAATGCCTGGTTCACAATGGATTGCAACCCAAGCTCCAGGAATCTGATGCCCTCTTTTGACCTCCTCTGGTATTGTACCCACATGGACACCCCCCAACACACACACTTTAAAAAAGTCTCCCAAACAATGACAACCAAGAATGAAGTGTCAAGAACCAGGGTAACTCTGTGGCAGGACACTTGCCCACCACACAGGAGCCTTCGGGTTTGACCCTGAGGACCACAGAACAAACAGACAAAAGAAAGAAGGGTCAAGATAAGTTTCCATTTGTCAAATGTTCTAACTTCTACTTAGGATTGACTTCAGGCATAACTCTTGTTTGTGCTTGAAGAATTGCATGTATGAAGTCTGACATGGCCTCCCTCTTCCCTCCAGATCCCTGCCTGAGGGAGACACTCTATGCCAACATTAAGGACAGCTGGGGGAGAGGAGAGAGGACTGCCTTCCACAGGAAACTAGAGGAACCCAGACTCTTCTAGAAGGAGTGGAATGGAATCACCACACTGTGCTCCTGGGAGCAGCAACACTTGTAGGGGGCTCTGGAGGGAAAGAAGGCAGGATTCCTCAGGGTCGGTTCTACTCAGCGGCACTGTCTAATTGTTATCCCAAATGTTCTCAGTCCCATCTCCCCCAAGGTAGCAGCCCTGTGGATTCCAATAATTGGTCTCTGCAGTCTCGGGCCACTTGAAGGAGACACCTCAGTGCTCAGATGAGGAGGGAACTTCCTTCAAAATACAGAATTTGAGTAATATATTTATAATAGAAAGTATTAACTAATATATTTCATTATTTTTATTGGAGTCTACAAATGTTTGTTACAGAATTCTTCATTTTGAATAGTTTTGAGATATTGTGGATTGAAAACAGAGTTCTCACAGTTTTGTGATGGGCGTTATAACTTTCATGTGTCTAAGTAGTCTCACTCTAAGAGTAGTTTCAGGTTTTTTATCTATTTGTTTTGTTTTGAGACAGACCTTCACTATGCAGCCCTGCCTGGCCTTGAACTTGCTTCATGGAACAGGCTGACCTCAAATTCACAGAGATCCACCTGCCTCTGCCTCCTCAGTGCTGGGATTAAAAGTGTGCCACCATGCCTTTTGGATTTTTAGATTCTACTTATAAATTCTATAAATAGAACATCTATAAATAGATACTTATTTCATGTAAATATATTCTTGTTTGAAATGTACTATTTATTACTGAGTTGTGAACAAATGATACATATTTAACTCCTTTGCTCTAAAGATTATATTGAAAGAGCACATATTTTTAATAAATATTCTTTTGTCAATATCCTATTCTCTCATCTTTCTATAGTATGAGTTTATTTATTTATTCTTTTTTCTTCTTTCTTTTATGTGTATGATTGTTTTGCCTACACTCACATGCATATAGTGCCCATATAGTCCAGGAGAGGACATCAGATCCCCTGGAACCAGAGTTACGGACAGTTGTGAGCCACCAAGTAGATGTTGGGAACCAACCCCAGGTCCTCTGAAAGAGCAGCCAGTGGTCTTAACTACTGAGCAACCTTTCCAGCCCTTATTTATTTTAGCTGTTTTTTCACTTCTTATATGTTGTATTAGTTTTTACATACACACACACATATATATATGCATATATATATGTATTGTGTTGTGTGTGTCTTTATGATGCATGCAGATGTCTTTTCACTCACCTGAAATCAGAGGACAATGTACAGGGGTCTCTGGAGTTGGTCTCATCCTCCCATCATGTGAGTCCTGGGGACTAAACTCAGATTATCAGGCTTGGTGGCAAGTGCCCTTACCCACTGAGCCTTCCCTTGTCATGTTTTACTTTATTTTTTAAAGAAACCATACAGCATTTCCTGTAGGAGACTACAGTAAAGATGAACCCATCTCCTGTTCTCCAGCCTTCTAATCCTGTTAGTTCGAATTGTTTGCTGCTCAGTGTTTTTTAACAGAATTCTACTCATCTGACCATGAGTATACCATGAGTATACTTAAAAAAGTATACTGGAGCTGGGCATTGGTGGCGCACGCCTTTAATCCCAGCACTCGGGAGGCAGAGGCAGGCAGATCTCTGTGAGTTCGAGGCCAGACTGGTCTACAGAGTGAGTTATAGGACAGCCAGGGCTGTTGCCCAGAGAAACCCAGTCTTGAAAAACAGAGAGGGGGAGGAGAACAGAGCTCATGTGGAGGGTCTTTTTACTAGGGGAAAGAGAATGGGAAAAGGAGGGAGGGGAGTGGGAGAGACCAACCCCTGAGAACAGAAGAGAAAAGGAGGGAGACAGAGAGACAGGCAGAGAAGTAGAGAGACAGAGAAACAACAGAGAAAGGTGGGATGTGGGCAGGGCCCTTTTAAAAGGGAATGCGTAGTGAGTGTGCACAGGTGGTGGTGCTCTTAGTGTCTGCAAGATGAGGGCATATTCTGTCAGCATCCCAAGGGCAGGCCAGTACAGATGCCTGAATACAACCTTGAACTCATAAAGATCCATCTGTCTCTGCCTCCCAAGTGCTGGGATTATGGCATGTGCCACCACTGCCCAGCCGAGGTCACCTATTTATATACTTCTCTCTATATATTTTATTTTATGAGATAGGGCCTCATATATTCTAAGCTGGCCTCAAATGGGATATGTATCTGAGAATGGCCTTGAACTTCTGATCCCTCTGCCTCTACCCCTATGTATCAACTTACAGGCATGCATCATCACTCTTGGTCTCTGCTATGTTGGGGGAGGAACCCAGGGCTTCGTGCATGCTAGGAAAACATTTACTCTACCAACGAAGTCATATCCCCAGCTCCTGAGTTAGAATTGTTTCATGCAGAAAAGCATTGAAGAGGGCTGGGGCAATGGCTCTGTGAATAAAGCTCTTGTTACTGGTGCACAAAGACCTGAGTTCAACTACTAACACTCTGTAGAAAGATAGGTGTGGTTGGGCATGCCCCATAATCCTAGTGCAGGGGGAGGTGCATGGAGATAGGACTCAAACTGCGGGTTCATCAGGGGAACCTGTCTCATGGGAATAAGGTAGGTATCCAGGGGAGGTACTTGACATTCTCCTTGGTACATGGTTGCATGCACATCCACACATGTGTGCACAGTTATATTCACACACATGCACACACGTGCAAATACCATACATATATACATCCATGTAAATGCAGTACACAGACAAGTGTCACATATACAAAGCACACACGCACTTGCACACACACACACATACACATTTTTTTTAAAGAAGAAAAATAGAAGAGGCTCCACAAGAGACTGTAACTTGAACCCAGACATAGGGAAAAGGGATTGAGGGAGGAAATCCAGGAGTGAAAAACAAAACAAAAGACCCTCCAGGCAGTGGTGGCACACACCTTTAATCCCAGCACTCAGGAGGCAGAGGCAGGCAAATCTCTGTGAGTTCGAGACCAGCGTGGTCTACAAGAGCTAGTTCCAGGACAACCTCCAAAGCCACAGAGAAACCCTGTCTTGAACTCCCCCAACCAAAAAGACCCAGAGTAGGTTTTTAATATTAAAAAAGTAAAAAAACAAAACACCAAAGCCATGGGTTCCTGGAAAACAACCCTACCTTCCACATAAAGGAAAAGTGCAGACTGGAGAGATGACTCAGTGGCTAAGAGCACTGGCTGCTATTGCAGAGGACCTGAGTTCAGTCCCCAGCACTGACATGGCAGCTCACAACAGTCTGTAACTCTAGGTAAAGGGGTATCTAACGCACCCTTCTGGACCCCAGGGATACCTGCACTCACATATGTGCACCCCCACACAGATACACATAATTTAAACAATAAAATTTAAAAAGGAAGTCAAAGCAATAGGAACTTCAAATGGCAAGTCACATCACATCCACAGTCCACAGCAGAGGGAGTTAATGCGTGCATGCTCTGTTGCGTGCTTGCTTATGCTCAGCTGTATTTTCATATAATGTAGACGGAGTTTTGCCTCCGAACCACCAGTCAGCTCTGTTCCACCAGCTAGCTCCCAAATAATCATCAAAAGACTCAAAATTAATTATAAACGCTCAGCCAGTAGCTTAGGCTTGTCACTAACTAGCTCATACAACTTTAATTAAACCATATCTCTATTTATTTTCTACCAAGTGGCTCCATACCTTATCTCAGTACAGCATGTTCATCTCCTGCTTCCTCAGTGTCTTCTCACCACTCCTGAGACTCCCATGACTCCGCCCTTCCTCTTCCTAGCATCCGCTCTCTCTCTCTCAAAATCCTGCCTAGCTATAGGCTGTCATCTCATTATTAGCCAATGAGAGTAATACATATTCATAATGTACAAAAAGATTTTTCCATAACAATATATAGTTCAGAATGCCCTGCCTAGGGAATGCTGCAACTCAATATGAACTGGGTTTTCCCACAGCAATTAATTTAATTAAGACAATCCCCCACAGACATGCTCACAGGCCAACCCAATGTAAACAGTCCCTCACTGAGGTTCTCTTTCCATGCGATTATAGGTTGTGTCAATTTCACATTTAATTGCAATGATCATACAAATTTCCCAAATATTATCAAAATAAAGCGAATGCTTTTTGGTATAGATGATACATGCTGATTTTTAAATATCTGTGCATGTGATGTGTACATGTATGTGTGTGGGCAGGTTGAAGTGTACAAGGTCAGGTGCATGCATGCAATGACATGTTAATCACCAGTATCTATCCTTGCCTCTTCTTGTCTTGTGGGTTTAAAAAAAAAAGATATATTTGTGTGTACAGCATTCTGCCCGCATGTATGCCTGCACACCAGAAGAGGGCACCAGATATCGTTACAGATGGTTGTGAGCCACCATGTGGTTGCTGGGAACTAACTCAGGACCTCTGGAAGAGCAGCCAATGCTCCTAACTGCTGAGCCATCTCTCCACCCTGCCTCCTGCCTTGTGAAAGACAAGCTTTCTTTGTTACTCAGCACTGATGATTCCAGGCCTGTCAGCTTCTGGGAGTTCTCTGGTCTCACAATAGGAGCACTGGGTTACAAACATGTTCCCATCTTTTCATGGGTTCTGGGGTTTGAACTGAAGTTCTTAGACTTTAACCATGGAGCTTGTGGTTGTTTGAATGAGAATGACCCCCATAGGCTCATATGTCTGAGTCTTTGGTCCCCAGCTAGTCTGGCTGAATTAATAAGCTTCAAAGAAAAACTGTACCCAAAAAGAGAAAAGATGGAGGGATGGCTCAGTGGTTAAGAGCACTTCCTGAACCTGCAGAGGAGGTGGATTTGGTTCCCAGCACCCACACGGCAGCTCACACCATCTATAACTCCAACTCCAGGTGATCCAATTTATTATTCTGACTTCTGTGGGCACTTCTCACACATGGTGCACATACATATGTGCAGGCAAAACACTCACATACATAAAATAAAGATAAATAAATCTTTAAAAAACAATGTGTAAAAAGATTGAGGAAAAAACATGACACAACTTCTGCCCTCAACGTGAACATGTGTGCACATGCATCCACAGGCATGTGTACACATCTACATCAACATAAACAACACACAAGTGCACAGTTGTACACACAGCGTTTTTCCTCATTTGCTAATATATCTGTGTTATACACCCTTGCAGGGAATTTCAATCCTTTTTCTTCATTGATTTCAGTGATGTAACACAGGAGAAAGGCATCTGAGAAATTATAATAGTGGGGATCAGGAGGTGGCTCAGTGGTCATAGTATTTGCTGTGTGTGCAAGCAGAAAGCTTGAAGACCAGAGTTCAGATTCCCACACCATTTAAATGCCAAGGAGGCATGGCAGCTTCCCTGTAATTCTGACTCTTGGAAGGTAGAGACTGGGGCCAGAGTGTGTCCTCAGAGCAAGCTGGAGAGACTCAGTATACTGGGGGAGCTCTGGGTTCAATGGAGAAACTGCCTTAATGAATAAGATAGTTAGCCATCAAGGAAGACATCAGAAATCAATCTCAAATCTCCACTCTCCCCCCAAAATACACTCTCATATATACATGGATTTATACACAGGTGAACAGGTAGACATCCATGAATGCAAAACATACACATACACACAAAAAAAACACAGAGGCCATAGTAACATACACTCATGGAACATGGAACACGTATAATCTTTATTATTTGTCCCCAGGGAAAGGACCTTATAACATGGATGCTCTTTCACACACATACCCTTTAAGAAATAATATACAAACATCTCTAAGCAAGTTAAAGTATAACAGCTAAATGTTCATATTCAACAATGGAGACTAAATATAAAATAAATAAAAACTTGTATTCACAAAGATCTAGGGTTCTACTACCCAGATATAAGACAAATAGACATAAAAGAATAATAGATTTTAAACGTGAAAAATTCTCCAGAGGGAAAACAGTTATGTAGATATAAACATTATAAGAGCTATGATAAAATATAGGAGCAGAGTGTTCTCAAAATTGGTACTATCATAAAACTAATATTAATTATTCTGCAGTCAATATATAATACAATAAAATTTATTAATAATACAACAAAACTTGTTATATATACTAATGTAATAAAATTTGTGACATGTGAAAGTTATTACAATTTTGTAGATCAAATGCTGTATATTGAAGAGAGTTCCCTCCTCATCTGAGCACTGAGGTGTCTCCTTCAAGTGGCCCGAGACTGCAGAGACCAATTATTGGAATCCACAGGGCTGCTACCTTGGGGGAGATGGGACTGAGGACATTTGGGATAACAATTAGACAGTGCCGCTGAATAGAACCGACCCTGAGGAATCCTGCCTTCTTTCCCTCCAGAGCCCCCTACAAGTGTTGCTGCTCCCAGGAGCACAGTGTGGTGATTCCATTCCACTCCTTCTAGAAGAGTCTGGGTTCCTCTAGTTTCCTGTGGAAGGCAGTCCTCTCTCCTCTCCCCCAGCTGTCCTTAATGTTGGCATAGAGTGTCTCCCTCAGGCAGGGATCTGGAGGGAAGAGGGAGGCCATGTCAGACTTCATACATGCAATTCTTCAAGCACAAACAAGAGTTATGCCTGAAGTCAATCCTAAGTAGAAGTTAGAACATTTGACAAATGGAAACTTATCTTGACCCTTCTTTCTTTTGTCTGTTTGTTCTGTGGTCCTCAGGGTCAGGTGCTGGGGCTTGTACGTGGAGACCCTACCATGGAGCAATTCTAGTTTTTAACACTTGATTTTTAAAAAAGTGTGTGTGTGTGTGTCTGTATGTGTGTGTGCATGTGTGTATTGATAGGACTGTTAATGCTATGCGGGGCTGGGCTGTTTCAAAGGATGGAGGCATTTGTGGGATGAGGGTGAGTTAAGTAGGGACTTAGTGGCTTAACTAATTAGACCGCAGACATACTCCATACCTCAGAGAATGTCAACGTACCTTCCTTGGCCGATGACCTCAGGCCTCTAGGATTCCAAGATTCTAGGTCAGGTTGGTGCGATCTCGTGCCCACACCCATAGCTCTGGGTTGTAAGCCTGGATCTGTAGAGAGAGTCAGATCCCTGAGCAATCCATGCCCCTCTCCAACACCCTTACACTCCCTGTTTAGCCTCAAGGTTTCCTATTGCCCCAATCCCACCTCCCACCTCCCACCTCCCACCTCCCACATTTAACCGACTTCCCCTCTCTGTTTAGCCTTCTGCAGCCCACACCCACCCACCTCTTCACACTCCTCCCGAGACACCCAGATCCTCCAGCGCATGGATCGAATGAACTGGAACCGCAGTTTGTGGAACATGGGGCGCTGGGCATAGCTCTTCCCGTAGAGGAAGTAAAAAATGTCTTGTTTAGGGGCCTGGTTGTCCTCCTCCATGTCATTGGCCAGGTACCTGGGGAAGAAGTCCGGGTGTTGTGAAAGGCCCAGGAGGACACCCCGCCCCCCAGAATGGGATCACAGCAGAGCAGACCAGGACGAGCCATTGCTATCTCTGCAGTTCTCCCTATGAGCTGACTCTACACTCTCTCTTCCCTGGATGGGTGCTATGTACACACAGCTGTGTCCTGCCTCAGGATTAGCGTCCCAGAGTCAGCCCTGACCTTGCTTGTCTTCCCTCCTTGTTCCCTCCTGAGTGCTCAACTAACAGTTCTGAGATCTCTCTCATCGTTACCTCATATTTTGTGACGCTAAGGGTGTTCTTTCTAAAATGTGTTGAATGAATCACTGAATGAGTGAATAAATGAATGGAAGTGATAGATAGGTTATACGCAATGCTATTTAGTTTGGTGACTTAGGATATAACAGAAACACTTCCAAAATAAAACAGAATTGAGGGGTCCCAAGAATGACTGGGTGTTTGACAAGACCCTGCTGTCAACAAGTATCCACCATGATGGGGAAAGGGGAGGAGACCAGAGGCTACAACCCATCTCTTGTGTGTGTGTGTGTGTGTGTGTGTGTGTGTGTGTGTGTGTGTGTGTGGCTTCAGAGGCCAAAAGAAGGCATCAGATACCCCTTGAGCTGGAGTCTGTTCTTCTGGAACAGTCTACTTTCATAACTGCTGAGCTGTATGCTCAGTCTCTTCAATATACTTTTATTTTTAGTTATGGGGATATGTGGGTATGTGTACATGAGGGCAGGTGCCAATGGAGAGCGCTGGACCCCCTGCATTGCTGTGAGTGACCTGATATGGGTGTTGTGAACTGAAATTCAGTCCTTTGCAAAAGCGCTATGAGCTCTCAGCTGCTGAGCCATCTCACCAATTGCCCAAAATCTCATCTTGACAGAATTTCTGTACAGTTCTGCTGGAGGCAAAAGCTGGCAGATCAAACAGGGCAGACAAAATGCTTTGTTCCTTTTCAGGTTGATTTGAAGTATCCTGCTATGTGGCTATGGTGCCCCTAAAATCTTTGGCTTAAGGGACCCTCCTGTCTCAGCTTCCTGAATATTTTGGCCATAGGAAGGCCTTGTCCTGTTAGATTTCAGAGCAGGAATTAATTTTAAGGAGAGGTGACTGTCTACAGGCACACGTGTGTGGAATACCTAGACAGGGTTAAAAGAGAGAGCATAGCACTGGAAGGGGGCAGGGGGAAGGGAGGATCGTTTTTGGTGGAGTTTGGTTGGGGAGTACCTAGAAAGATGGAGGAGTTCACCCTGGGAACTCCAGTTTCCAGGTATATGCTGGTTAACTTTAATTGTCAACTTGTCACAACCTAGAATTACCATGGAAAAAACGTCAGAGGGAGAAAGTCAAGGAGGGGATACAACCACAACTTAGTACTTGGGGACAGGATTGAATCTCTACAAAGGGTTCAGAATTTCCTGGTTTTATTCTTTGTCCTTGAGTATGTGAGGGTGTGTGGTGTGTAGTGTGTGTGTGTGTGTGTGTATGTACAATTGAGCACTTAAATCTATCTCAAAGTCAACCCTGAGTTTTTCCTAGGAGCTGCCTATCTTGTTTCACAAGACAGGGTCTCTCACTGGGACCTCAGTCTGACCAGTTAGGCTAGGAAACTGCTCTGAACCCCAAGTGATCCTCCTTTCCTTGACCCCTAGTACTGGAATTGCAACCACCTGGACTACAATTTCATGCTAAAAATCTGAACAAGTCTTCTTGCTTGTATGGCAGGTACTTTACCACTGGGGCCATCTCTCTCTATCCCTGTTAAATTTTTAGCTGGTATTAGGTGTTTTTTATATAAAACAACTTAAGTACATTTATGCTACAAGGACAGGCCAAAGGCCCACTTTTTCTGACCCCCCACATGCAGTGCAGGAATAGTGACCAACAGGAGGAGACAAAATACTCACAGAGCCAGGAAGAAGTGGATTGGCCTATACTGCCAGGAGAAGAGCCCAGCACGGCTGAAATAAGCTATGACCATAGACAGGAGGTACTGGTGGAGAGAGGAGACAGGAAAGGAGACGTCACACCCTGGAGAGGAAGAGTCTAGGGACAGGGGAAGGGGAGGCTGAGGTGGCATGAGGCTCAGAGAGGATCCCCGAGTTTTGGGTGCCTGCTGGAGTGAGGAAGGACAGGTGAAAGGGATTTTCAGACAAGCCAGGCCAGAGCGAGGAGGCCCTTGCTGCTCCAGCATGGTTGGCTCTGGGTCAATTCTGAGGAAGGGCTTGGGTCAACAGGGACAAGGTGGTCTTTGCCCTGAGGGAACAAAGGGTCCCAGAGAGCTGTGAGGAGAGAAGAGGCAATTCCCAGGGTAAGATGGTGACCATGGGCTCAGATTCCAAGGACTCCAGTGAGGCATGGGCATCCTGTCCACTCTGTAAGGCACTGCTGGGCCCTGAAGAGAGACCCCGGCAGGGTACCAAGGGTCAGGGCTGTGTGGCTTCAGGGGGCACTGTGGAGGGACAGAGGACTGTGGTCCAGGGAGGCCCCTCCCCGGGCAGGACAGGATCTGGAGCCATCTCAGCGCACCTTATCAGACACTCTCAGCATCTTGTCCCAGGCCAGGAATTTTTTTACCACAGGATCCTCTGTGAACAAAGCACATGTGTCATGGTGTGATGGGGAACATCTGGGAGAGACAGCCAGGAGAACGGCCTCCTGGGGGAGGATCAGGTCAGAAAGCACAGTTACAGGGCCCAGCTGAAGAAGTGGGACTTCCCAAGTGAATCCCAGCTGTCAGACACTGAGCTACAGGAACCAATCTCTACCACTGGGTTGTGGTTTTTCTTAAGTGTGGTTGTTTTTATGCTCTGTTCCTTCCCTTTTGGAGCAAGAAGGTGTTTAACTTATTTTTCATTTTACAAAAGCACACAGGTAAGGGACTTTCATTATTTTCAAGTCACTTCCCTTTTAAAGAATTAGAATTTTTTAAACTGTGAGACTTTTAAAGTTGTATGCTATTTATATTACACTAAAATAAGATCTTAGGGACACTGGGCATGGTGGTACATGCCTTTAATCCCAGCATTTGGGAGGCAGAGGCAATCGGATCTCTGAATTCAAGGCCAGTCTGGTCTACAAAATGAGTTCCAGGATAGCCAAGGCTACACAGAGAAACCCTGTGTCAAAAACAAAAGCAAAAACAAAAACAAACAACAACAAAAAAGATCATGGGGAAAACAGAAAAGGAAAGGTTATGACTTAAGGTGATATATTTATGTACCATGTTAGCAAGAGATGAAGTCTTCTGGTTAACTTCTGGTCTCGACTTTACACAGTCAAGGATTACCTGAGGGACTCTCATTTTGGAGATTGTCTCAATCTGATTAACCTGTGGGCATGTTTGGGAGGCATTTTATGATTGCTAACTGATGTGAGAGGCTCCAGCCCACTGTGGATGGTGCCATCCCTGAGTAGAGTCTGGAGAGGAGGCACTAGTGAAGTTTAGAATGTTAGTGGCACACAAACCACACTTAAGGGGTGTTTTACATGTCTGTGGCTCTGGGATCAGTCCAGGAGTGTGAATGTGCAGAAGACGACTCTGTAACTGAGCTGCATCCCCATCCCAGGACCAAGCTGTGTCAACACACCATGTTATCCCCCATTACACCAAATGCACCACTTCACGGGCCAGAAGCACTTACACTGATAGTCCCATCTGATGTCCTATGAGGGTGGGAACATGACTGGGTGGCCCTGATGTGAATGAAGACACCTTAACTCGGCAAAACCAGAAAGAGGTGAGTTACAGTCCTCTTCCTTACCTCCATGTGAACCTTTGTCAACTCTAGCCTAAGCCCCTGTCACCTATGGGTTTCTAAGAACCAAAGGAATGTAAGTCCTCCAGGCTAACAGCCCTGGACTATGAGGGCAGCTTTCCCATGGGGAAGGAAGTTCACTAGAAGTTCCCTCTTTTGCCTAAGGAGGGAGCCATGCAGGTGTCACCTACCCAGCAGCCTGGTGAAGACTTTATGGTGTTCAGGTCTCACTGTAGACACGCGCCGCCTCTTGAGTGTCATCCTGAGCCCGCACAGAGTCTCCACTGACCACACTGGTTCAGGATCAGGTTCTAGCAGTTCTGCCAGGTCATCCTCAGAATCTGATGACAAGTCCCTCTTCCACTTTGGGCTGGTGAATACAGGCTGGGGACCGGCCTCCTCCCTTGGTTCTAAGTAAAGAACCCACACCCCAGTGTGAACTCAGGTTTTGATGATCTCAGCCCTGCCCCATGGTATCCCCAAACACCCCAGACACACCAAGCCTCTTCAGCTTCTGCCTTTCCCCAAACCATCGTGCTATTTCCCTCTGTGCTGTTAGCCACCTGCCCCTCTTCTAGTCCTGTCCCCTCTCCCTGTTCCTCCAGACTCTTCCTCATTAGAGACCAATCGTCCCCATGAAGAGAGGTCTCTTCTTGTGTCCTCTCTTCTCTGTCCCGTCGTTGACTCAGTGCCTAACCCCTTCCTTGCTCTGCAGATTTCCAGTCCATGTGACATCTGTGTCTGACCCTCTGTCCTCTCCTCCTCCAATCCTGCCTCCTGGGCCCTCCTTCCTTCCTTCTGGGTCCTTCCTCCTTCCTATCTGCTTCGCACATCTCTTCTCACTCAGTTCCCCCACCTGTTGGTCCCAAGATCTCCCCACAGGTAAGGGCCTGGTGATGCCAGGTGGAGGACTCTGTTGAGAACACAGTGACAGTTGGCCAGTGGTTACAATTCTCCCAAGCTGTTTCCTACCTTCTACAAATCCCAGACTCTGATCTATCCAGCCCTCCTCCTGGACTCTCACTGAATCCACACATGATGTCCCTTCCCCCATCTAGGGAGAGGTGAGGTGTGGGAGAAAGCTCCAAGAAGAGGCTGTTGTCCACCAAGCTGCCCACCACCATGGAGTGCTTCTCCTCCAATCAGGAGGGGCAGACGCCTGTGATGTCATCAGCCTTCCAATCTGACAACCAGTTTGAAATAAAACATGTGTAACTGACAGATTGATGTGTTTGCCTGTTCTGAGGATTCGGGGTCAGTTTGTCTCCTGCCACTGACCTACACTCATTCCATCTCCAAATCCATTCTCCATGTCTGTTCCCTTTGCAATGTGTATACTAGGGGCTGTGTTCTCTGCACAGCTCACTGAAACATTTTAGATTTGCCTTCTCTCTGTACACTCCTGTTTGAAACCTCAGTCTCTTCCCTGTCATACACCATTTCTCCATTTGGATAAAGAAATGGAATTTAAAATCTTTTAATTAATTAATTAGTAATTAGTTTTGATTTTTGAGAATGGGTTTCTCTCTGGTATCTCTCACTGTTCTGGAACTTGCTCTGTATACCAAGCTAGCCCAAACTCAGAGTTCTGCATCCTATGGGAAATTTCTTTTTATAATTCTCCATTGCCCTTCCTTGCTCTGTAGGTTTTCAGCCCACGCGATATCCACATCCCATTGCCTGTCCTCCCCTTCTCCAGTCTCTAGCATCCAGGGCCCTCCTATCTTTCTCCTATGTCCTTCTCTTTATGGCCACCTGCTCATGTCTCTCCTCACCCTGGTAACCTCACCTGGTCGTCCTGGGATCTCTTCATCCACCACTGGTGAGGACACTGTGGTGCTAAGCTGGGGACACTGTTCCTCAGGTGGTGAGGGTGGGTCATTGGCAGCCATAATTCTCAGACGCTTTCTTCTCTTCTATAAATCCTACACTTTGTGTCTCCCACTCTGCTCCTGGTCTCTGGCTGAATCCACTCCTAGTTCTCCCTTCAGTAGTCTAGGGATAAGTCTGGTGTGGAGGAAAGTCTTGAGAGCTGAGTTTGTCCACTGTGCTGCCTAGCTCCACAGAGCTTGACCCTTCCAATCAGAAAAGGCGGAAGCCTGTGAGGTCATCAGCCTTCCAACCTGGCAACTGGTTTGAAAGACAACATGTGTAACTGATGGATTGATGTGTCTGTCTGTTCTGAGGATGGGTGTGCATCCAGGTTTGGAAATCTACAGTCGAAGAATGCAATGGGTAGCAAGATAACTGTAGGTGAACACAACAAGGTGATTCTTTGGGGGACGTGTGAGGTGATGGAGATCTGGCATGTGGGATGGTGTCAGGCCAGAGGTTCTTACCTGACAGCACCTTTGAACCAGTGCTTCTGGCTGATGAGTGCTACCCATAGATATAGCATCCATACGAACATGAAGACCTCAGAGCAAAGTTGAGTCTGGGCTTCTGCTCTTAGCATCTCTATGCCTTGCTGGGCCTATACCTTTAATCTTTCCATTGCATCCTCTTGAGAATATGGTCTTGAAGAAATTGAAGAACTCTTGAAGAAATCTTCAAATGCTGTGACTTCTAAAATCTAGTGAGACCGGTGTTTTCAGTTTGAACCACAGGATTCAAAACTGACTGTTTCAACTGATTGAGTTTACAAGAGGGGAAAATATATGAGGTGGCAGATTCTAACCCCTGAGAGAGAGGCCAGCCCTGAGCCTCACTGACAAATGGGGTGCTTCCAAGCCATGGAGGAGAGGATGATCCTGGGCAGAATGGTGGCATCTCTCACAGAAGAGTTGACATTCATTATCTATCCTGTTTATGTTTCTGTTCTTGTGGTTAAATAGTCAGATAAAAAGTAACCAAGTGAAGAAGAGTTAGCCCAGGATACAGCCAATCACTGTGGAGAACAAGGCAGTGTCAAACAATTAGCAACATTGCATCTGCAGAGAGAAACAAATGCATACATTCTCACTTACCTACTGTGATCATCTTGATTCCTTTACTCTTAAACAATCCTGCATCCCCATCCCAGGGTATGGTACCACTCATAATAGTCTGGTACTTCTCATATAAATTAATTACCATGATATCCCACAGACATGCTTGTAGGACAATCCATTCATTGAAACTCTCCTCCCAAATTTTTCTAGATTGTGTCAAGTTGACAATTGAAGTTAATCATCAAAATATCCAAGAAGGCAACCTATTATAGAGTACAGGACAGAGAACCAAAAAGAATCAAGGTGCAAGGACACCCAGTCAAAGATTGAGTACAGTCATTGTACAGTGGAAGGTGCAAGTAGTAGACAGGGATCCAGCTGATGCCATCTTATCTGTCTTTACTAGTGTCTTACAAGCTATCCAGTCATAGTTCCCACCCACTGCCTGATATGGAAACACACAGGGATAAATATCTATTGACATTTGGAGGTGTGAACATAGTCATGACAATGTCACTTTTGCTCTCTGTTGAGAATTCAAATTCAGGATATGCTGAACAGTGCAAGTGCTGGGCAGGAAGTCCCCATCCACATCTCGGCCTTTTCAGAAAACCCCTCTGCGGTGGCCTCAACTTTATATATGCTTATCTGACCAAACCACAAACTTCCCCCAAGTCTTTCTGCTCTGCTTTTGATTTTTTTACTTTTAAACCTGGCTAAAAGCAGCCTACAATGACTATGCCATAACCTATATGCTATGCTGTCTCAAAAATTCCTTTATCACAATAGTTAGTACATTCTTATCTTAGCTTTTTTTGTCTGTTGCTATGATAAAAATGCCTCAAAAAGAAAGCAACTTAAAGGAGAAAGGTCTGTATCTGGCTTACAGTTCAAGGGCATAATCAATTATGGCAATGAATTCCAGTAGGAGGAGGTTGAAGTAAGTGGCTGGTGACATTGCAGTCAGGAAGCAGAGAGTGGATGATACCCAATTCTGTTCAGCTCCCTTTCTGCATCTTTTTCCCCCGTTCTCCATATTATACAGTCCAGTATGCCATGTCTACGGAATGGACCTGCCCACATGAAGATGGGTTTTCTGACATCAATTAATGTAAGATAATTCTAGATTCAGTCAATGTGATAACTCTAACCATTGCAGCTCCAAAGTCTCAGGGAATGGGTGGCTCATGTCTGTAATCCTGCACTCAAGAGGCAGAGGCAGAGGAAGAAGGATGTCCTGCAAGCTGGAGACCAGTCTGGTCTGTATAGTGAGTTCCACTCGTGACAAAGATACATAGTGAGTCCCCCTGAAAAATAAAAAACCAAACCAAACCAAACAAACAAGAAAAACAAAGTCTCAGGGCACAGGCAAAAGATTTACAAATTCCTTGGCAGAATGTTACACAAATGACACCTCCTTCAATTTGTCATACACATCTCATTGATGGGGGGATGTCCTTCTGTATATGTGTTTCTCTTATTGGTTGATGAGTAAAACAATTTGGTTAATAGAGGCAGGAAGATAGGGGGGCTAGGAGACGAGGATTCTGGGAAAGATAGGCAGAGAGAGACCGGATAGAGACACCATGTAGAAGAGGAAGGAGTAAGAGGTCTAGACCCTTCTCTGGTAAACCAAGACCATGTGGAAATACTTAGATTACTAGAAGTGGGTTAATAATTAAGGCAGAGCTAGCCAATAAGAAGCCCTAATTATTGGCCAACAGTTTAATAATTAATATAGTGTCACTGTATGTTTATTTGGGGCAAATCAGCTGTGGGATCAAGCTGGAGAAAAACTCCAGCAACATCTCATTCTCACTTGAAACCTTTGTGTGTGGTCTACACTGTCTGAATATCTACTGGGATTCTTATTTTTTGAACTCACTCTAGGATCTCTCTCCAAGTTGAGTTTACAGCATCCTAAAAGTTCTGTACTGTGCCCCTCCACACTTCTTCAAATTCCTCTTTCACGTCAGCTCTGAAGATTTAGAAGCCACAAGGCAAGTTTTATCACAGCAGTGATCCCACTTCCTGGCATTATTTTCTCTATGAATTGAATTTATATTCTTATGACATAGGCACTTGAAAGAGGAACATTTTACTTGAGATCATCGTTTCAGATGTTCCCTTGGCTTTGTGGTTCTGAAATCATTGTGGGGCAGAACATCATAGTGGTAGCATTGTTGCTCCTTGCATGATAAACAAGAAATGGAAAGGACCAGATAGCCCCAAGAAATCTACCCTCCACAGCTACCACTGAATCTGCTTCCTACATCTAGTCTTAAGTTTCCAGGACCTCGCAAGACAGTGCTATTAGTTGGGGACCTAGGCTTTAAAACACTGCTGGGACAAACTATTTGACAAAAGAAACTTCAGAAAGGAAATGTTTATTTGAGCTCACAGTTGGAGAGGCTACAATCCATTGTGGCAGGGAAGGTGTGGTGGCAGCATTGTGAGGATGTTGGTCAGCTCTGTTTTTCCTTTTCTTGGTTTTCATTCTGTGCACATTGCATCCACAGTCCAGAAACAAAGACACGGAGGGGAAGAGAGAGGAGAGGGGGACTGTTGCTCAGCTCTGTTTCTCCTTTTCTTGGTTTTCATTCTGTCTAAGACCCTATGTGATGCCATAACGATAAATGGCACACTTACTGAAAGTAAAATTAAGTATTTATTGTAGAAATTACTCACAAGATACCAAACAAGTAACCCAGATGAGCCCAGTAGTTTTCTGCCGCTGAACTAGAAGCCGAAAGTCGGAAAAAGAGGCCAAGACTTCCGTTGTTCAATCTTTTATACCTTCCCCCGTAACGCCCCCTAGCCATGCCCAAAAGTGGGCCTGGCTAGTGATGTAGTTCACCGCCTATGTACGTATACATCTTTATGTCCGTCTGTGTACGTCTTTAGTCATGCCTAAAGTGGGTGTGGTTAGCGGTGTGGTAAACTGCTCTTTTATTACCTCATCTGTATGGGCCTCTACTAAGTCACATGGCTAATGGTGGCATTGTTTTCCTCCTACAATTCCCCTTTTAGTCTAAAAAGGATATTTAAACTTAAAACAACTAACTTGTGTCAATGATCAAAATGTATCAAACATCTATCCCATCTAAACCTAAATTTATCTGAAAGAAACACCCAAATCTGAACACCTCCTTCCAATCCCAACTCTAAAATAATTGAAAACTAACACTAACAGGTGTAAACTATCCTATAATATCAATAGTAGGGAGAGGGGAGTGGAATTCTCAAAACTACTTCCTGCTGAGATGGGACGATGATAATCTCATGGGGACCTGTGAGAAGAAAAATGTTAGTGTAACAATATCTCAGTAGATCAGACAGTTTCTGTGTGGCAGGAGATGCTTGATTGAAGTTCCTGACTGGGGTTCTAGTGTTGAATGAAGCTCTCGTCTGAAGCTCTGGCCAGATTGTAGAAGATGTGCTGTTTAAGTTTCTTGGTCCGGAGTTGTGTAGAGTGATGTAGTTTCAAGCCAGTTTCAGGATAGTGCTTGTCAGGTGGAGTCAATGATGTGGGGCAGGTCAGATGCCTCCAGTCGAATCAGGTGAAGTCAAGAAAGTGGATCCTCATTCTCTTTCTGAAGCAGTTGAAGATTGCTGTCATGAAATCCCTTCTCTGGAAAACTCAAACATTAATGTTAACAAAGAAATATTCTAACTTTTATATGTATGCATACTGGAAGAGGTGACAATAGGGAAGATGGTAAACATGAAGGAAATTAGACTTTTCAGAAAAAGAAATCCACAGATAACAGTCCCTAATTTTATTTTCTTCTGTCTTATATCAATGGCTCTTAGATATAATACAAAAATTCTAAATTTTATTTAAATAATATGCTTGAATTTAGAGTAGGAGAGCCAATCCAACTCCAAAGCCAGCTTCAGTTAAATGAATGGGGACTGAAGTATGTGAAGAAACAAAGATAAAAGGGTACTATGAAAAACAATACAGAGAGATTTAGACTTTGAAACCACACAGTGAGTTATTGTTTGTTTGATGGTCCTTAGGGTAGCTATTCATTCTTCTTCAGGAATCTATATGTCCAGAATTCTTTGCTACACTTCTCTTTCCTTTTAGGAGGTCACTTTACCCATGGTAGAATATGAATTTGTAGATGAGCTGTTATCTTCCTCCTCCTG